AACCTGCCGTTACTCAAACGCGTCGTGGTATTTAGAAATGATTTTCGCATGCTATTTCGTTGGGACTAAAAATCTTTCTTTCAGGTAGATTCTCTAGTTCCCAGAATTTGGTTAACATTTTATCCAAATTGTTATTTGAAACAATTGAATGATTGCATTGAATATTTTGTTTGTAATTTTGGAATTTTATAGGACCGGCTATAATCCAGCCTAATTTAGAATTTTGTAATTTAGGACTGTTTGGGCCTAGAGAGCGTTGGCCGCTAATCAGAAGGTCCCAAAATATATCTGCTCCAATAAGCATCTCAATGGAAGCAGGTTCATAGAATTTAGGATCAGCTAATATAACTTCTTTTGGTATTTTTAGACTATGTGTATCGACGGAAATCTTTGGAATATCTCCGGTAAGTTGATTGAGAACATAACAAGATAACTGAACTTGATAAGCTCCATGAATTGATTTTATGTAAGTATCACATCTTTCTAATATTTTATCGCAATAATTATTGCCTATTCCGATAACATTTAATGCGTTTAATGGATGACACACTAAATCTAGTTTTTGTTGCAGAGATTTAGTTATAAAAGTGGACTGGCTGCCGCTATCTAAAAGCGCACGAACCTTTTCCGATTTGTTATTCAAAGGATTGTAAACTTCTATGATCGCTGTAGATAAAAGAACATATTTATTATTGTGTTGAGAAAAAGTCACTACGGTCTCATTAGTATTATTATTGATTATGTCTATTGTACTGCAATTAGATAATGAGCTGTGATCGTGAAGAAGCGTGTTGTGCCTTTGGTTGCAATGCCGACATGAACCCATGCCGCACTCTGACGTAGGATGACCTTGACGCAAACAGTTACTACACAATTTGTACTGAGTTATACATGACATTTTCTCCTTAATGGATTTTGATTTAAAGGTTGGACAATCATATATCCTATGATTTCCATTGCACACTACACAAAGATAACAAATATTATTTCGAGTTTGTGAAGTGGATGTAAACACATTAGTACCCTTTTGATAACGAAGTGATTTATTAAAAGAATGTTTGTTGCTAAAGGATTGAGATTGAGTGTTAGATTGCGAAAGACGTGAATTTGTGGTGATTTGGAAATGTTATTATTATTGTTTATACATTTATTATGGCTAAACGATTCCAATACATCAGCGCGGTCAATTAAAAATTTATTGAATTGTTGTAAGGTTGGCACATCACTCAAAGCGTTGCGATATTCTTCCCATTTTAATATAGTTCGACTATCTAGTTTGACTGATAAAATAAATATTAGCAACATGTCCCAGTGGTCAGTTGGTAAACCTAGATTGTTTAAAGCTCTTAAGTTTTTAGTTACATTATCAACCAAATATCGAAGGGATTTATCTGATTCGCGAGTTATTGCTTGAATATTAATTAATGAATCTAGATGATGGTTGATAAGAATTCTTTTGTTGTCATAACGCTCGCAAACCTGTTTCCAAGCTTCTTTGTAATTAGCGGACGATACTTCAAGATTTGCTATAATGCGTGCCGCGTCACCGTCCAAATAAGAAACTAAGTAATGGAATTTATGTATGTCTTGAATGCGATCATTATTGTGAACTAAGCTAACGTATGTGTCCCGAAATTCGAGCCAGCGGAAATGTGATCCATCGAACTTCGAAATTTGTATTTTTGGTAATCTAAAACCCACATTTTGATGATTAGTGTCCGCATTAACAATAATAGATTGACGGCGCGGAAACTCATCGTCATTACTATATTTTTGCAATTCCGTCTTAGCTATAGCTATATTTTGAACTAGTTCTTGTTCAATGCGTTCACGCTCATCGAGTTCCATTAAGATATTTGAAGCATTTAAAACCTCAATCTCTGTCTGCAAGTCATCAAACCTTGTCGATAATGCTTGCAATTTATTTAATTTTAAATTTAACTCTGCAACTTCTATATTTGATAACTCTGGTAATTTACTGATGTTAGCTAAATAATTTTTGAATTTCGTTATTTGTCCCTTAATTGAACTACGTTTTGCTAGCAGTTCCTTTAGAGACACTTGCACGGGATATTTCTGGTTACCCTCTTGCATATTTGTAAAAATATTTGCTTACTACGTAATTGAACAAAAAATGTACTTTGATTGTACAATTCTAGTATTATACTGCACCAAAATGAAATATCGACTGGTTATGTATGACCAAACAGTAGAAGAAATAAAATGAATTCTCACGCTCCTCCTCTCGGTGAGGTCCCTTGGGAAGCTGGTATCGGCTGGCTGCAAAACCTTAGTCAGCAAAACGAGCAGTGACGTATTTGGCAGCAGCCTGGTCGAGTAACTGAGTTCTCAGGATAACGCCTGGAAATTTCGGCAAATCGACTTAAAAATTTGAAAATATCGATTAAATCGATGTAGGGTTTATGGCAAAGGAATAATATTAAATTAATATTAATGACATAGCAATTAAGTGGCAAATCAGAACTTGAATTTAGAAAAGAAAATCTTTGGACATTATAGTTGACGGTATATGTAAGTTATTTTACTTATACACTTATTTGCACTATAAAGACGTATAAATCAGAAAGAAATGCACAAATAAAGGCTTAATAGTGGAGTAAGTGTATTTTAGAAAGGAATTAGGTACTAGGTTGTAGTAAGATGAGGTTAGATTGGAACAAAGGAATGGCACTTATCTCATTGATGATGATGCACCTCGACGACTTTCCGGTACTACCTTTAGCTGGTTCGCAAGCCAGGAAGTCAAGGCTGGTTGCTTGAGTGGTAATCGCCTTCAAATTTAGTTTCCTTTGGAAATCTGCAGTAGCCGAGTATTGAGTTGCTCGTCACCGATTTTGTAATTTTGTAGAAAATGTCCTGTCACGGTCGCCAAATTTCTTGTTTACGCACAAGAATGGAATTTCTTTAGTGAAACTCAAAAGAACTTTAGAATTATGTATATTACAATAATTTTTGGAGACATAAAAAAGCAGAGATGGTGACTGTTCGAAATCGGTAGTAGAATAGACTGGTGCAACAATCTACCCGCTGTTGAAGATTGTAAAAATAAATGTCATATAAAAATAATTTAACTAGACGTAAATCATCTAACGACGAATTGCTATGCGTATTGAAGTAGGCGCGTACAACCTGTGCATAGTCAAATGAGGTTGATTGGGGTTTTTCCTTGCCCCACACTGAATTATTGAACAAGTAGACATATTAAATATGCACCACTAGACACTCACAGCACAAAACAAATAAGTTGGGAGCGTTTTTATTGTTAAAAATCGCAATCCAAATCTAATGTTGTTGTCCGCTTGACACCTGATGTACTACAAAACTATGCGGCCTAAAGATGGCGGCTGGCACGCGAGGTAGGTACCTTGTCAGAAATGTAGAAATGTTGCCAGGCAGAGAATAAACAAACAACATGACGTCTCTTTCTTCAAATGAGGAAATTCATTGATTAAAAAGAGACAAAGTGTGGTTTCATATTTCTATATCGATTTGATATATATTTGTATAAGCAAATAAGCTTTAGATCATTACTTCTGGTCCATATTATAGTAGGTCTGTGCAGCCGCCATCTTTAGGCCGTATAGTTTTGTAGTACGTCAGGTGTCAAGCGAACAACAACATTAGATTTGGATTGCGATTTTTAACAATTAAACGCTCCTAACTTAATTGTTTTGTGCTGTGAGTGTCTAGTGGTGCATATTTAATATGTCTTTTTTTTTTTTTAAGGGGGGAAAATCATCGAATGACTGCTCCCGCCTGGGTGAGGCGGAAGGGAGTGTCAGACTCTTACTGACTAAAAACCACCCCGTTCCTTCTCCTGCACGTCGAGCCGGAGCCCCGGTTACCCGTTAGGTTCTCCGCGACATTTAATATGTCTACTTGTTCAATAATTCAGTGTGGGGCAAGGAAAAACCGCGATCAACCTCATTTGACTATGCACAGGTTAGTAGCCGTATTTTAAGAAAAAAACTTTATCATACTATTAGTTTTCTTGTTTATCTAGCCTTGTTTTATATATAGAATAAAAGCCCCCAAGTGTACATTAAATTTGTTTATGATAACTAACTTCAGTTGCTAAATTTGTTTTATGTTTTGTTTACAATACAAATGACGATTTACAATAGTGATGTATTTTATTTAATAACATATCGATAAGAAACTAACATATTTTTAGTTTGTATGTTATGGAGTCCAGTAGAGTAGAGTATCAAAATAAAGGGTCTGATGAGACCATTTTGAAAATAAATCTTACAGAATAGATTAAAAATAGGGATAGTACCAAAACATAATGATATCAATTCTTCATACAGTAGGTACTTTCATTTAGTTCAGTCTATGATTTGTACCACTAAATGTACAAAACTGAAATAATTTTTATGTTTTTTTTATTTGCACAAATGCCCTAAAAATGAAGTGCTGCGTCAGAAGTGGCTTGAAGTCAGTAGGACGGAAAATATCAAACCTGGACTTAAAGCGTCAATGTATTTGTTCATTACACTTTGCAGTATCATCCTTCAATAGAACCCTTGATGTTATAAGGCTGCGTGATGATTCAGTACCGTCAATCCACCTTGTAGTAAGTGAAATAATCAACATTATATTGTCCTAAACACAAAGGGCAACTGTCACTGAAGAACACATGTATGGTTTTAGCCAGTAAAAGTCTTACGTGCTCTCTCGCTCTACCCAGAGCGCGAGAAGTCATTCGATGATTTGTACCTTAAAAAAAACATCCAAAGTACCAGAAGATTTTTAATGTATAAAACTCTGCTATCGATATCGATACTTTTTGGTTTTGACTATAGTACTTCCCTAGCAATGGCCGCCATTTTTAGGCCTCGGTTTCTAGTAGGTATGGTAGGTATTTCTGGTCCATATTATAGTAGGTCTGTGGTAAATTCAACGATTGAGTGAACGAGAAGTTTTATTGATTGATAGGTATCTATCTATATTATCTATGGCAAATAGTTCATCAACGGATGGGTGGGATGGGACGCCGCAAGTCGCCAACGCCAAGTCGCAGCGGTGATTTAATTGAAATTACGACAAAAACCAAAATACCAACAAACATGAGCGCGTAAGTTAATTTATGTTCATAATTCTTGTATTCTTTAGCATTTGCAGCGACTGTCATTGCGATTTCTTAAGATAGTATTTATTGTTATTCCTATTATGAAGGGACGCTTCTGCCATATTGTATTTTTTAGCTAATAAAACTTCAAATTTTAGATATAAATGAAACTATGATGGTATCTAAGACTGTGTTGATACCTTGGCTATTAATATAATCGCGATTTTTATATAATTTGAAACTTTCGTAGCAGGAATAGTAGTTTTCCCTCCAGCTTAATGTATGCCGGCGTTTGTTTTTGTTATGTTGTAATCAATTAAAATGCTACGCGTGCGTTTGTTTTAGGTATTTTGAATTTTTTTGATAAGATCTAATAGTTGTAGGACTATCTACCGCCGTCGATTCGATTAAAATGCTCTTTAGTTGGAGGCCATTGTTTTTCCAGTGAAAAGAATAAAATAGGTACTTAAAACTTCTCGATAATTTCGATCATGGTGGCCAGTCTATACTAGCTTGCGTAGTGATGTATCAAAATATTATGTTATTCATGCAAACTAATAGAGGTTTATCAAATCATTACGTTATTTCAAATCAGTTACATCTGTGCAGATCTATAATAATGTAAACATAACGATTTACCTCAATAAAAGAAACTAAGTTTTCCCAGCTATGCGGTACTTTTGCGAAGGGTCTATTGCATTAGTTTTAGCTCAAGCAAACCATTTGATATCACTAAAGAGTCAAATAATACACAGTTGCTCTCTGCTGTCAGTGCATTCGCTTAGATGTTTTAATCGATTTAGATGTAATTATTCATACAGATAGCATAATGCATATGCTAAGCTTAATCATACGTCGATCTTGGACTAGTTAATCCTGGACTAACATAGTATTAATTTCAAAATCGAAGCCTATTAATAAACATGGAGTAACGTCATAGTAACAATACCATCCTTTCACTGGGTTTAATGTGTTTATTATGGGAACAACGGATAAGTAAAAAGATTGAGAAGGAGGTATAAAATCCTATGAAACCTATGAAGTCACTGCCTTATTGACAGATATATGTATGTAAACTTGACAATTTGGCGAGTCACTGTCCGCTTGTTTTGTTTGAAATATGCACACCAACATTGCCTAGGGATAATTCAAAGACCACTACAATGTAGCACTCACTTTTCACTATTTTATGTTATGAGTCCCATGTAATATGGGGTGAGCCTAATGCCATATATCGGGCACATTTCATCAGACTCTGTGCTACTACTGAGATTTTTTGAAAAAACCCAGTAATTCTTTGCCCGACCTGGGAATCAAACCCGAGAACCCTTGCAATACTATAATAATAGATTTGATGTAGGAAATTATGAAAATTAAAGTCATTAACAGTCAGTTGCAGAAACGCTCATTAAATTTTTAAAGTGACCTTAAATATTAATGAGTCTTTAAAGTGTTGCACAAAATAGCATTTCTCCCTAATTTTAATGCCCCATTAACTTTATTTAACAAAATGTCAAATCGGGACTTTAGCTTATTTTTACGTTGCACAAAACATCATTAGCGCTAAAGGATCATTAATTTGACAGTTTGAGGTTATAATTTGTAATGCCTTGTCGAGCATCCCTTAAACGTGTCATTAAACTGTGAATTGTTTTGTAAATAGTGCTATAGTGATTTTTTACTTTATTTCAGTATTATTTACAATGTCCCTCTCAAGCCTTTCGTCTTTATCCGATCCCGAGCAATATGTTCCACGACGACGTCGTGTAATTCCTGATAGGATAAAATTATTTGAAAAACATGATGGAGAAGATTTTCGTGTGAGATATAGGATTTCTAAAGAAGTTGCTCTACGCATTTGCGAGATACTTAATTTAGAACCTGAAACTCGAAGAAATAAAGCCATTGATGGCCTTACACAGTTATTGATATGTTTGAGGTTCTTCGCTACAGGATCTTTCCAGCAAGTGTTAGGCGATTTGGTTAATGCGCACAAGTCTACAATATGTAGAATAGTACAAAAAGTAACCCGCAAGCTGGCAAGTCTAGGCTCAGTGTATATTAAAATGCCATTAGACAGGAATGAACTACGTAAAGTTGCTGAAGGATTTTTCCAAATTGATGGCTTTCCACGGGTGGCAGGAGCCCTTGATTGCACTCATGTGAAAATAGTTAGCAGAGGGGGGTCACTACCTGAACTGTATCGTTGTAGGAAGGGATTCTTTTCCATTAACGTGCAAGCCGTTTGTGACTCTACTCTTAAAATAAGAGACCTCATAGCTCGTTGGCCTGGGTCGGTCCATGACTCAACGATTTTTAATAACTCACACATATGTGCAGATTTTGAAAGAGGGAAATATGGTACATACTGTTTATTGGGAGACAGCGGTTACTTCAATAAAAATTATCTGCTGACACCCTTTTTGCGTCCTCAAACCAATTCAGAGGAAGCTTACAACAAAAGTCACATTGCAACCCGCAATACAATAGAAAGATGCTTTGGTGTGCTAAAACGCAGATGCCCATGCCTTGAAAAAGGTATCACACTCAACAAAACATCAACAGTTCTGCAAGTTATAGTTGCATGTGTGGTTTTACATAATCTTTGTATAGAACTTGATGAGGTGGAACCACCTGATGATATAGTCATTGATGGAGATGATGATTTCCTCCACACCGGAGTACAGTCTGTTCAGACATCTGTCCGAACAGCAATTGTCAACAGTGTTTTCTCTTAATTAAATTTCTTGTTTAAAAAAACAATTAAATTTATTATAACATTGTTTAATTTATTATTAAACACACCTAAATATTAATTAATTATCTTCTACTTTATGGATAAGGATCTTGGTGAAATAGTTGGAAATAAAACAATGAAAATACCATTTAAATTCTATATTTTTTTTCTTTATTTTTCAAAATTTATTTATTAAATAAAAACGTTCATCTTAGAGGCCACCACCTTAAGCTGTGTAAAAGCTTATCGAAAAATATTCCTCACAGACACTTTCTGAGTAATCGCGTGGTCGGAGCATGGAACAAGCTGCCAGAATATGTAATCGCTGCACAGAATGTTAACCAGTTCAAAAACAGGCTTGACAGATACACAACATTGAATAACCACTGATAGAAAAATACGATACAGGCATTTATCAGTTGTTTCAACTGCCTGTCTGAATTAAATAAATAATAAATAATAATAATAATAATAAATTTCCATTCTCAACGAATGTTCTTTTTTCATTTGCACAATTTCCAACATCAACTTCTTTCTTTCCAAATTCGCATTCTGGCATTTTTTCTTAAAGTACAATTTTTTCAATGCTTCAGCTGATGCTGGTTTTATTATTTTTCTTGGCTTGAATGCTGAAATAATAAACATCAAAGCTAAGTACATATACAGATTTACCTACCTACTATCTATCTATAGCCTAGCTTTCTTTGTTCTTTTTTATTTATATACCACACAGAAAAATAAGCTGCATAATAATCACATTTTATTTACCTTTTTTCTTAGTCGAAAAATTGACACTCTTCGGAGTAGCTGCTGTTTTGGGTGTAGAATTTTCTACTGCCACACTGTCAGCTTGCCGTTCATCAGCTGAAAATAAAATACACATATCCTAATATTGAATATTGTTTTAGTACACATATATTTTAAAATATTGGTTATTTTGCATTAGTTTTGTAACTTTACACACATTTACCTACCTATTAATATAATCTCCTGTGTTGGGGGGCATAAGAAAGCAGCTGTAGAAGAAGACGGCATTGGTTCTGCAGTAAAGACATTGGTTTCTGAAAAATGAGTTTAAATATTATAAGAGCCATCAGACCACCACGGATGGGGCCCAATAGGGCTGATGCCGATACCGAGTCGCGGAGAACCTAACGGGTTACCGGAGCTCCGGCTCGAAGTGCAGGAGTAGGAACGGGGTGGTTTTTAGTCAGTAAGAGTCTGACACTCCCTCCCGCCTCACCCAGGCAGGAGCAGTCATTCGATGATTAACCCCCCTTAAAAAAAAGAACAATCATACGTCCTTTCCAGTGCAAGCGTCTCTAACTCTCGTTGAACCGTATTTCAATCAAATAGGTTAATGATATTAGTATTCAGCCTCTTTGCATACCTTAATGTTATATCGTGCCAATAAAAAAAAAAAATTGTCAATCATCCATTGGCATGAAACTTACTTGTCAAAATGTCAGATAACATAGAACTGTGTACTCAATATTATAAATTTGTGCGTGTCTGTTTGTTTTGTTGAAAGGATTGAAAGTAGCATAGGCGACATTTTGTTTCTTTCTAACCCACCACTTGCTTAAAACAGGGGCTGGCTGGTTTATATGGAGCATTTCGTAATTTTTAAGAAACCTAAAATTAGTATCATATTTGTACCCAGGACAACATCGGGTACCAATTCTTTTTTATCTTTCGTAAACCTGCCCCTAATACTTTAAAAGATCGCGAGCGAAACCATGGGCAGAAGCTAGTAAGATTAAGGGAAAATGATTCATCTTTTATAATTATGTTCTCGTCGAGTTTTCATTATTTTTAATGTATTCTGCTATTCCGGGCGGGGACAAATCGAACAAAAAACCATGGAATTTGGTCTAGCTGATCTCGAGTTATAACTGTTGGAACAAACCCGTCTTTCTTTTGTATATATTTATATAGGTACATATAACCGAAAAGAACATGAACATTGTTGAGATTTGTATACCTTTGAAGAAACTAGATGCGCTATCATATGGATTGCACAATGGTTCCACCTGATCCTGTATAATAGCCAAGACTTTAGCGTCATTGTCGCTCATTTTTGGCTTCCAAAAACCACCACCAGTCTTGTTCATTTCAACCTAAAAACAATACATAATAGAAAACAAGTTGTATCATTCCCTTTTACTTGTGAACCACCCATCAATAACAAAGTAGATGGTCACCCATCAGAAACACAGTAAACGGTAGATTATTACCTTGTCTTCGTTAATATTTCTTATTGCACGCGCAACATCATCCTCTGTCACCATACGGTTCTGTTCGGCATTGATATACGCTAATTTCTGAAATAAAATATTGAACTTTACCTACTGTATTATTAGATAATTACATAATGTGCCCATTATAACCAGCATTCAGCAATGTGACCATCTAGATATAGACTAGGTACTCACATTACTTTCTCCAACATCTTTGCGAGATTTTTGCTTCATATTATCATATAATGATTTCAATTGGTCCGTGTCTCTTGGACCACTAGTGCAACTACTGTTAAATTTTATTGTAATAGCCGTCCATGCTTCTCTCTTCTTCTCAATAAACTTGCCTCCAGTTCTTTTGCATTCTATGATATCTTTATATCTGTAAGATGATAATGTTTTAGGTCAATAGCTTTAAAGTAAAGCAGTAACACAGAAATATTAATACACGTGGTCATTTAATACTCACTGCGTGACAAGATCTAGTAATAATGCTTTTTCGTCTTGTGTATAGTTTGCCCCTCGTTTTCGCGGTTGCTGTTGCGACATGTTAATTTATTAATTTTCTTCAATAAACACAAAATACAACACGCACGTATTACCGTTAGTTTATTTGAAAAATGAGTTTGACATTGGGAAAATATGAATTTGATGTTTTGTTACGTTTTATTCTTACAAATGCATACGTGTTGAAATGACAGAACACAATTACTAAACGCAACCATTCAATCACTTCATTCAAAATGTGTGTTTTAACTTGCAACACAGTTTAATTTCGTCTTTAAATGGTTTTTAGTTAAAGGACCATTAAAGGGGCCAGTAACAGTTTTGTGCAACGTCTTTAAATCTAATGAACTAATTAGCGATAATGACTCATTAACTAATGTCGATTTTAAGGACAGCTTTCTGCAACTGAGTGAAAATAACAAAAAAGGCATTTAATGAAAGTTAATATTCAGTATTTCCTCCGATAACATTAGTTCTCCATCAGTTTTTCATGCTCAATTAAGCTATTCAAATCGAATTGTGCTATCAGGTCCCAGGTTCTTTTCAAGCGCAGGAATAGTTGTCCTACTGTTATCAAATTTGGAAAAAAATTTACTATAGCTCTTGTTCCATTGGATTCATATCGGGGGACTGAGCAGGCTAGTCCATAACCCTGATTTCATGTTTCCTAAGCGCAGTTGATACCAGTTCAGCCGTATGGGCACGGGGCATTATCGTATTATTTGTACCCTTTGTGGGATAATCATAGGTTCCATTACTCTCATTGCGGTATTTCAGTGTGTTCATGTTGCCTCTTATAGAACATAAGAAATAACTTGGGTCTCTAAAGTATGCTTCTTTAACATAAAAATTCACTATGACTCTTGTTGTGCGCTTTATACAAAAAACATCTACATTTCATAAGCTTTCATATGAGGTATACAACTTCAGCCTACCTGAGGCCTGAATCTGCTATGCAATATTAAGTTGTATAGCTCCATCCTTTTTGCACTGCTCTATGACCAACTATTCTGACACAATAGAGTAGTTTCCTAAATTTTATTTTAATGTCCGTCTGGTACTTTAATTTAAAACTTGAGACACATATTTTTTCTTTTCTCACAAAATTAAATATTTTCGACGATATATTTGATTTTGACATTAAGTTTTGCAAAAAGGTAGCCAGCAGTCTAGAGAGTCCATCCACCCACCATTAAAATATTTTCAGTTAATCTAAGGTTCTACGTATCTAGACATATTTATAATCTAAGGTTTTATCTAATAAAGCCGTCACCACTCAACACTGACCAACATAACCATATTGGAAACTTGGTTACACCGTTGCTATACCATGTAGCACCATCTTAGAGTGTTTAACCAACTAAAAACTCTGAGGGCACCATGGACTAACTTTAATCTCAGATTGTCGTTGGAATAGTTTAGGCCTACCTTACTCCTTGTTTATTAATACTAAAATTGATTATTCTCAGCCTACGTCACGTAATTAATGTTGAAACATTACAGGCCGCGTTCACGTCGTGTACAAGCTCAAAGAAAGTTTGCTCAGGGTGCGTACGTACCTCCAAATCCAGCAGCGGTGGCAGCCGTGGACAACAGACGCGATGCCGCCCAAGACACGCGCAATGTGACCATCAATAACATGACAGCATCCAACTTGCTCGACGTGGTCTCACTTCAAGGTCAGTGTTCAATACAAGTACTAGTAAGTAGTTCATAATAATTTCGAAGTTCAAAGACTACCGGTGTCCCTGGGAGTATGGATCAAATCGAATAGGAGCATAAGGTTATTCCCTAAGTTTTTTGCTCTCAGAATAAGAATGATAATGACTGGTTTTCTTTTTGCTCAGTGATATCCTAATATGCTCAATTAACCGGTCACAAAAATAAAACTATCGGAGGTAACAATGTAATTTTTATTTTTACACTTTCTACAAGAGTGCACCTTTTTTCACCATACTTTCAGGGACATCCTGTATAGAATAGAATCCGGAGTTACTTTTTTGAAATCCATAGTACACTAACACCTGGATAAATATTTAATTTTAATTCTGTTGAAGTAGAGTAATTGCGGCATGCAGCACCGCAGCTACGCCCGCAAATAATTCGAGCCGCAAGTGTAGTCGAGTCAACGTCGTCGTGGAGGAGCGAAACATGTGGCGAGTGTGGTTCGAGTGGTTGTTTGCGCGGCGTCTGTATTTTATGTTGCGTCCCTGCTGCATATTGCATGCTGCAAATTTTATACTTCAGCGGAAATTAAATTAATGATTTTCCAGTAGTTGGCGTATTTCAAGGATTGGCAAATTATAAAGGTGTGTCCAAACACGGAGTGCAAGGTGCGCGGCAGCTGCGCGCGGCAGTTCAGTCCGAGACACGCCGCACTTTTTGTTACGTATTCAAACCACAATGAAAGCGGCTCTTTGTTTTGTAGCTCTGCTTCGACCTCATACTGCACAGCAGACGGTCTGCAAGCTACATTAACTGGGGTTGGAAGGTCTCCGTGGGCGAAAACCCACCAGGTTATTAGAGAATAGCTTATTTGACTGGCCTGCAGCTGTAGCCAAATGCCACTTAGCGCTTGTCTACATGTAGAGTAGAAAACCAAATTATATGGAATTGACGTAAATTTTGACACTTGTCAGTGTCATCCCCATACATTTTGATTTCTACTCTCTCTGTAGACAAGCGCTAAAGTGGAGTTTGGCTAGAGGCCCTGGAGTGCTAGCCAAATGCCATTTAGCGCTTGTCTACATGTAGAATAGAAAACCAAATTATATGGAATTGACGTAAATTTTGACACTTGTCAGTGTCATCCCCATACATTTTGATATCTACTCTCACTGTAGACAAGCGCTAAAGTGGCGTTTGGCTAGAGGCCCTGGGGTTTTAGCCAAACGCCACTTTAGCGCTTGTCTACAGAGAGAGTAGAAATCAAAATGTATGGGGATGACACTGACAAGTGTCAAAATTTACGTCAATTCCATATAATTTGCTTTTCTATTCTACATGTAGACAAGCGCTAAATGGCATTTGGCTACAGATGCTGGTCGGAAAATAATATTAGTGTATAATTATATTTATGAACGTCATTAAATTCCTTCTTCTGAAGATCTTCACGTTTGTTTTTATTGTGGTATTCTTTTTGTCGAGGAACGAATCGATATTTCATTGTCCGTTTTTCCGCGCAGAAATACGTCCAAACATAATTACCGCCGAATGTAGAATGTTCGTGCGCGGCAATAGTCCAATCACAGGGCTGCAAGCCGCACGCGGCAGCCGCGCTCAATTGCCGCTCGATGTTTGGATACACCTTTAAAATAATTTTAATATTTATGTAAGTGTGACTTATTATATTCAAATGTCTTCTATGTAAATGCATTCATGCATTAGTAGTAATCTTTGCTACGCTATAGCTAAAATTTTATCACTAGTATTTAGGAACTCTGTAATGACGATAAGGGATCATGAGTAATGATGATTATAAGAAATGAAAGGGCCCATCCTACACGTATCCCCCGGGTGGTGCTAAACGAACGAAATTCCCGAGTCTCTGGCGGCGGTAAACTAACCAAATTAATCCAGACCTAACCCGTCTGTTCAGTGTAGGTATAGGTAGGTCTCATAGGAACAGTGGCCTTGGCTTTGCCGCCCAGATCACGAGGACGAAATCCTCTTTAATAAATCGCCCCAAATCCTACGAAAAGAAACGCGTCAATAGGATGCATCGCTGGTGGGTTGTTCAGTCGCTAGCGCCAACTATAAAGCGCCTGATGACATTATAGTATCTAGCCTTTACTGCCGGAATGGGAGTAAACCCGTAGTGCGACATTTAACCCTCTACTTTTAACAAAAATTAACTTAACTCGTTGAGTACCGTCATTATAGACACAATTAAAGAACAATAGGTTGCGGTCACCGGTGTCCGCTTGGTGCTTGTTTAAACTAGTTTAAACTAACGCATCAAATTTCTCTTTTAAATAGTCTATATAACAGACCACAGATCGCAATTTCTATCTGACTGTAGTCAAAACGTTACTGACGAAAACATTGCCGACACATTGGAAAATCGTGGCACTCAAAATACTGACAACTCACCGTGGGTAGAAGTCCAGAGCCGTTGCCAATGCCTCCACAACTGATTTTTGATGCAAGTCACAAATATCCGCCCTTAGAGCTGGAACAAAACACTTCACCTACAATCCTAAGTAAGACGGGATTTAAAGCGATTCTCAAAAAATTACTCACATCAACGGATGTTGAAGAAATTAGAGGACACGTTGCCAAAACTATTTAAAATGTTAAACAAGCATCAACCAAAACTCCATTACATGTTTGTGGTCGACATCCAGTCAAAATCAAACAACAAGGAAATCTACAACATTAAGTCCCTTCTGCATTGCCGTGTCAAGATATAGCACCCAATATTAAAGCGCATAATAATCAATGTGCTAACTGCCTAGCCTACGGCCACACGAAGTCCTATGGCCGGCGAAACCCAAGATGTATAAAATGTGTGGGTAATCATCAATCTTCTGCGCGCTTGCACGAGGAACGGTCTGGGGACGTTAGATGTGCCTTATGTGGCAGAAATCATCCTGCAAATTATAATATAATTATTACTATATTATAGTAAGATCTGCAGAAACAAAAAAATCCCTCCCTAAGTACAAAAGAGCCACACCAAATCCTGTATTTACCGATATGAGTTCAATACCAAACAAAGAGTTAAGCAAATCCTACGCTGGTGCTGTTCGCAATGGTTCGGCGACTATGACGTCGGTCGCCTTCTGTTTAAGAAGGCGACACAGCCGTCCAAACCGCGGAAGGCAAACAAACAAAACCAATCCCAACCAGAAGAACTCATCCCGGTTGACTCTAACAAAAACAACCCCTGTCAAAGTCAAAATTTGAATTGTCCATCAGTCCGTCTGTCTGTGAGTGAAGCCAGGCGCTCGTTCATTAAGATTCAATATATTATTTGGTCATTTATTATAACGTTTGACACACAATCCCATGATTTCTGCACTTAGGACAGTCTGTATTGCGGTATAGCCAACTTATTTTCACCTCTCGTTTTAAAGGCTGTGAGAACATCAAAGACTTAAAGGAGTTATCGAAATCTTTAAGTAAATGATGCAGCAGATGACAAACATGACAAACCTTTTAATGAGTCTAATGACTTAACTATGGTTCTGCTCTCGGTCGCCTCGTCAGTACATTGCACACACATACAAGTTGACTTCATGTTAATATCTGAAACACAGTTCACCGAAAAAGTTACTTTAAACTACCGGAGTATGAAATGTATTACACAAATCATCCAGATGACGCCGCGCACGGAGGATCCGACATACTTGTAAAAGATAAAAACTGCGTTTAAAAAACCGACTTCAAAAAACCAAAAACTAATAACAAACAAAAAGTCAAAACTAAAAAATAACTATTATTAGTACTGATAGGTTACCCACCCACTGATAGGTAAGAAGTCGGTGCCATAAGTTCCATACAAACTTATTCATTAAAACCTTAATAGGTACCTAATTCACAATTTTGTGGACATTATTCAGTTATATCATTATGATATGAGCTTATGGCACCGACTTCTTACCTATCAGTGGGTGGGTAACCTATCAGTACTAATAATAGTTATTTTTTGCTTTTTAGTTTTGACTTTTTGTTTGTTATTAGTTTTTGGTTTTTTGAAGTCGGTGTTTTAAACGCTGTTTTTATTTTATTATTTTATCATTTTCAGTGTAAAGCTACATATACCCGTTTTGTTACTTATAATGTACATGCATACAATGCTTGGTGTTTGACAGTTTAATTTAGGTTAAACAGTTGTTAACATTGTGCTCTACCCTAAAACCCATCGACGTCAAGTTTGTGACGCCGATGCGTTCAGCTTATTTATTATTAAAAACAGAACTCTATGAATTTTGAAAATAATAAACCTACCTCCTACATACATTCTTTGTATTTACATGTACAACATTTTACTGTTTGTTTTTTCTTTTCATTACCAACACGGGATGCTTGCGCGTGAATGTTCACATTTATTGCTGGTAAATATAACTGCATGTTAGATGTTGATATAAGAACTTTTCATTTAGGTAGTTTAGTGTAATCTGTGATCATGAATTATATCACGTAGTCTAAGTATAGATAAGGTTAAGATAATAAGTAGACAACAGGAATAATATAGCTCTATTTTCACATCTTTGAATTGATTTAACTCTGTTCGGACTGAGTTTTTGTTATATAAGGCCCCATAGATATTTTTGTTTGTATTGTTATTTGGCATCAGTTTAACGTTTTAGTTGCTTTTTACTTCTGAAAACTGCCACCACGCCTCATACAAAGGATCATGTATGCTTTATTCCTTAGTATGACGACTTTTAGCTAGCTCGCCGGAGAACGGAGATAACAGCCCACAAATGTAAAAAATCATAATATGATTCCGGAAGCTAATGAAACGATTACGTAGGGTTTAACTTTATTTAACCTCATAAATAGGCAACAATTAGGGCCAAAATATCATAAGAATCCTCTATAATATAGGATAACATCTCGCCTTTTAATTCCCGAACTGTTGAGTAGAGATGCATGCTATGTATTGAAAGTTATAACTACTTTTATTAGTTATGGGTCCCGTACAAGACTTTGGAGTATTGATAAAACATGTCAAAAATGTATTATTTTTGATCGGTCTGGTTTCGAAAGCAAGATCTTGGTTCTGCAATGACACTTAACTCGTCGAGTACCATATTTATAGACACAATTAAAGAACAATAGGTTGCGGTCACCGGTGACCGCTTAGTGTTTGACAGTTTAAAAATACTTTACCAACAAAAAAAATCTAAACGTACCATATTATTTCAGCGTTTAAATTAAGAATTTTGAATTCTTGGGTCGGACTAGGCATTAAAATAAGTTTTACCCAGCATTAACAAAGTCTATAATTGTCCGCGGTGTGTAGTCATAGATTCGTCCTAATTATACGAAAATATTAACATGTCTGGCAAAAGGTCAGTGTTTCATATAACAAGGAAGATGCAAATATGATATTTAATATGAAAATTTCATGATTAATGTGGTAAAAACATATAAAAGAAGGGCTATTTTAACGTGTTTATTTTATATTAATTTGATTTTTAGGAATAATTACGAATTAAAGTTACATAAAACGAAACGCATTTCAAAACACCATCAGCGGTTAGTCACTCGTTTCGCGTCAACTTTTTTGAGGTAAACTTTGCGTGTAAAATTATTTACGTCTCTAATAAAAATGTAAGTTGGACACATTGGATCACATTAGACTCCAGGTATTTATCAAGAGTTAGTGTCGACGTGGTAGTAACTTTTGTCGAGAGTCCAGAGTTTTCTAGTGTAGAAATGAAAAGGACTCAATTACTACGGCATGCATGAATCGGAGAGTTTTTAAACTTTGTTTGCATTTTATTCAGTGGTTTCTAAACATAGCATTTCATTCAAGTTTTCATTTTTGTCAGCTATTTTCTCTCAATCGATATCTTGTGGGATACTTCAAGGAGTTGTGTCATGGTCGTACGTGAGCGTCAGCTGCGGTACCAATGGTGAGTTGAGTAGGCGCAGCCCCCAAACATCTAACAAAATACAACTTTTTTAGACGTTTATTCTTGATTGGAAACTAACTATCTACTTAATAGTTAGCATAATCTTTTGAAGAATGGGAATTATCCGCTGGTTGTGAAATGATGGACTATACGTCAGATGGGGGCACATTGTTTTATATTTGTGTTATTAGTCGAAGTATAATCCAAGACTTTTGACGATATCTTTCAACAATGTGTTATGCTAACTGTAGTTACTAGTGGGGAGGAGTCGACAGAAAAATGTTTTTTAGATGTTTTGACGACTGCCGCTACTCAATTCGTTACTGGAGCCGTAGTTGACTAACATAGCATTTCATAATAGGGCTCAGTGAAGTATTTTGCAGGTTTTCGACTGAATGGAGATTAGTCATGAAAATCTGTCATAGGCCATAATCATAAACATATAAAGTGAAGACGCTAGCCTGAGCTTAAGTAGTGGCCGGTTAATGGTTAATTTGATTAAATATAGTCTGTTCTGATTCCGTAGCTTTATAACAAAACAAAAAATAAGTAAAAATTACACAATAAACTTTGTTGAAATGGTTTATAAATATTAATTACAAAATATTTCTGAGTAAATGAAGAAATATAAGTTGTGTACGGTCACCATCAACATACTAACAGGAATAATATTTTAATAGCACTATTTTCATATCTTTGAACTGATTTAAATCGGTTCGGGCAGAATTTTTGATATATGGCCCCATATATCTTTTTTGTTGTAATGTTATGTGCATTACTTTTTCCACATTCGATCAAAGGCCGCGAAAAAATAAAAAGGCACCGCGCTACATACAAATTTGGTCATTGTCATTTAAACGGCTTTTTACGATACATTTTTTAATATGTTTATGGCCTATTACATGAAATTCTTTAAAATAAACACCAAAGTAAAAATATTGCATGCCCTATTGTGTACCTCCGTGTACTCCTTCTGGAAGTAAAGGAGTGTTATGTTTAATGCGTTAACTCGTCGAGTACCGGTTTTATAGACACAATAGGTCAGAACAATAGGTCGCGGTCACCGGTGACCGCTTGGTGTTTGACAGTTTAATTCAAGTTTTGAAATGATTATAGTCTTAGCATTAAAATACGAGTGTACTTGTTTTTAAGGGAGAAATAAGCGAAATAGAGTTTCATAACGTTAATTACCAGCATTTGAAGTGTGATTATCTCAACAAACCCATAATAGTTATACAAGGTGTAGTTTTGAAACCGAGGCATTTCTCGGGGGCATGTCACAGAAGTCATAAAGGTTCAATGTAAGAGAAAGTTTTGGGCCAATAGTTAAAAATACAGCTATAATAAATCGTTTCAAATTCGACAGTATTTCAGAATAAGCGACAGCAATGTTTCTTATTAGAGTTTTATGGAATTAGGAATAATATCAATTACGTGTTTGAGTTTGTGTGTGTTAAGCCGCGTTATAAAACTAGTTACAAGACGGCGGCGTGTAGTTCGCACTTACGGATTTCCGTAATTTACAGAAAAATTAAAAATATTTACCTACTATTTTTTATTGATTCGGACTCAGAATCGATAGCAGAGTTACCTCCTAGAAAATGAAGCGGCTTTTAAACAACACCTTTTATAATATGTTATGTTAATAATTATACAAAAAAAAAACTGTAACTTGTCAAAAAATGTCGGATGGCGTACAAATGTTTTGTGACTTCAAAGGAACGTGACATTAAATCCTCCAATGATTGTATTCTGTGCTCCAACGAAAACACGCACGCTGTCTTGATAGATATCATTGAATTTCAACTTTATTATAGGGTTAATAATGCGCAAATTGACTCTTTGATGTTAGGAACATACTTTGCTTAGACATCAGTGAGTGCTTGCAATATGAACTTTATGAAATAACAATAGAGCTCAAATTGACTGTACGTTTTAGTTCGAAAACTTTTGTATGGGAAAAGAAGAGGGCGGATTTTAGGGTCTTTCCGATAATTGTTCGAATTTTTCTAACCGTAAAAATCATTCTTGAACTTCAACGAACTGTTATGAACAAGGCCTTATTGTAAATTATAATCTAATCAATCCTTACTTTTTTGTTAACAAAGAACCATACTTTTAAATTACCACCTAAACAATCGTTATATTGTTATTAACAAAGATTTAAGCACTCCTTGCATTGTTATGAACAAAGCCCTATACATGTAAATTGCAATTAAAGCAATCGATACATACTGTGGCACTTATACGCGCAAGTATAAATTATCGACTAAGGGATAACCCCCCACCACTGGCCATATAGAATAAAATATACGTCTTAGTAGATAGAGTGTATAGAGGCACTTCAGATAAAGTTATTCAACTATTAACACCGTTTTATATCACACAGTAATTATTGTAAGTCGAAAGACGTGAAGTGTAAAATAAAGAAATTATTAACAGCACATTTAAAAAAAGAATTTGCCAAATCCGTATTCCTGCCGCTTTTTTGCTTGACTTCGGAGAGCTACGGGCAGTATTGTGCCCCTAGATAGGCTACTCCACGTGACACGCTATACCACGTGAACGCGAGTGAAGCCGCTGGCAGAAGCTAGTTCATGTATTATTTAATTACCTGACTATAATTTTTTGTGATATCCTTAATATCACAAAACATTAAAAGATAACTAAATAATTTCTTTAATTGTATGGTTAACTTTGTTTTGAGCACCTGCTCCTCCGTATCATATGTACCTACTTGATATTTGTTGTAGTTACAATTAATTATTCAATTTTTTTTTTCTTTGTGTAGGTGTAGCAGGTCCGCAAAATAGGACATTAGGTACTATTTTTTTATTAGTTTTGATCAATTAATGTTTGTGTCGTTGAGTAGATAGTACATAATATCTTGCGATCTCACTATAATTTATTTTAAAGTGGTTTGTATTTTTTTTATTTGAACTGAAACATCTGAATTTCAGGTCTTCATACCCACTTGCAACCAGTAGTGGTTGTAGAGAGACTCCGTCAAACAAATCCATGCAGAGATGAAAATATAGAAAATGTTTCTAAACCTCAAGAACTTGTTAACGATGACACAAATAGTACTCTTTCTGTGGACAATGAATGTTGTACAAGAGATATGCAACAGCGGCTTGAGAAAAGTCCTATAAGCATTAAGTGTGGTCCTTATAATGCACATTTGAATAGTAATAAATATGAATATACAAATGGTCATGTAGTTGAAAAGGGTGGTAATACTTGTCCTTATGTGAAAGTAACTTCTGAAAACAACAACCAAGAACCTCAGACTAATGAACAACACAATTCAAACAAAGAAATTGCTACTAAAGTCACAGAGCCTTGCGCTACCGTCAAAGAGTATAGTGGGAAGAGTAAAGAACTTCTTAAGGATTCTAGTACAAAAGTCAAAACAAATACTAAAGGAAAAGCGAATACTAAAGACAAAACAAATACTAAAGGAAAAGCCTATAATAAACATAAAATCGGTACTAAAGGTAAAGGATCCAGTGCCAAAGCTCATAGTGGTAATAAAGTATTCAATAATAAAGGCAAACAGCCCAGAAGTAATGACGACAATTCATTAGCCGCTGTCCTGAGGGCCTTACAAAAGACTAAAGATAATAATGTACTAAAAACACATGCAATGTCTTTGCGCCAACGGCGTTTAAGCAACGGTAGAGTCTGCGCAACTACCGCCAAAAGGTTAAAAGCATTAAAAAGTAAAAACATACCGAATAGAAAGAAAACTGAATCACCTAATCGTTATTCTCCGTCATCAGAATTCTCTATCGATGATAATCGACCATTGACATATTACGCCCAGAATAACAAAGCCAATAAAAAATCAACAAAGAAACGAAGCCATACTAGTGACACTCTAAATTCAGGCAAGTAAAAGTGTTATATAATTTATTACTATTTATGCTATATAAGAGCTTTTTGTTAGCATAAGCTCTATTAAATGTTTCAATATTTTCACAGCAGATTTATTCAAGTTCCCTACTTTAGATATTTGGTTGTCATTTTTTAAGTTTGTGTTTGTTCATGTTTTAGAAGTGGTACATGTTGAACGGAGTTATCCAAAGAGAATGATGTTAGACCTATATGTGCCACCCGTGCCAGACCCGATACATAGCCATCCGGCAGAACCTGTCGCTGGACCCAGTGGACTACAAAAGACAATATTGGAGCCCGTGGCGGGACCTAGTGGGCTGCAAAAAGTAACAATAGAACCAGTAGCCGGGCCTAGTGGGCTACAAAGGGTAACGTCTGCACCAGTGGCGGCGCCAAGAGGGCTGCAAAGGGTAACATCTGCACCAGTGGCCGGTCCTAGTGGGCTGCAAAGGGTAACTTATACACCAATGGTGGGACCTAGAGGGCAGCAAAGCGTAACTTCTGCACCAGTGGCGGGCCCTAGTGGGCTACAAAGAGTAACATCTGCACCATTGGCGGGACCTAGTGGGCTGCAAAAGATAACATCTGCACCAGTGGCAGGGCCTAGTGGGCTGCAAAAATTATCTTCTGCACCAGTAGCAGGGCCTAGTGGGCTGCAAAGGGTAACATCTGCACCAGCGGCGGGGCCCAGTTGGCTGCAAAGGGTAACTTCTGCACCAGTGGCGGGGCCCAGTGGGTTACAAAAAAGAGTGTTACGGAATTCTGGAGTTTCCAGGCAAGTATACTATCGAGCGCTTCAATTTCGTATTAAAGCAATAAAAATAAATCGTATTTAATGAACCTCTTTTATTTGTACAGGGGTCAGAGCATCGAGTCACAAGAACAAGACATAAAAGTTTTAAAATGCTTTACAATACCTCCTTGCTTCGCGGAAAAATGGCGTACTGTACAACAAGTCATTAATGCACCTAAAGAAGAAATGGACAGTCGCTGTACCCTATGTGTTGCGTGTTCAAGAATAGATAAACTAACACAATTGTCAAAACTACTTTATCGATTTGATTTAACTGGAACCAATCAAACATCCATAGAATCGGAACCTGAAAATGATGATGAGTCCGAGAATGATGACCCTAAGCCGCCAGAAGAAAATACTGGCCATATATATCTCGATCTGCTTCCGAAACATCCGCGTCTCATGATGAAACTCCGGATACACGAGGTCCATGGAAAGCAACTTCTGTCAGCTTGCTTGATACCAAAGAATGATGCCCGTAAAAATAATGAGGATTTCTTGCTTGAAGAAAAGGAACACCTATTAGACCAACTAATAAATACTCTATCTATCAGTTTACCCAGTGACATGTTGAAAATTGGAAATTCTCCGACAGGAAGTTCATTTGAATGTCTTCAAGGTATAATATCTAACCTGGACCATGAAAACGACCCTGAACGTGCAAATCCTATTGGTGAACCCCGAGCTAACGTTGAGGCATTCTGTGCTAACGTAGAGGAACCCCAAGCTATTGTTCAGAGTCGGATTGTTGAGCGCCACACTCTAAACAACGTGTATGAAGAAGGTGACGACGCCGACAATGACGTTAATTCCGACGAAGAGGAAGGTAACTACGGCGGAGAAGGGAATGAACGGATTAGTGCTGAAGACTTAAACGAATGTAGCGCAGACACTGTTCAGACGCATGCTGTAGGCGGCGCAATGCAGGATGGTCCAGTATTTAGACCCACAAAGGAAGAGTTTCAAGTGAGTATTATAAACACAAATATTAAGTGTTTTCGTATTGCACCGAATTATTGTCGCCAAGTGCCACACATCATGGAATTGTGCCATATACGGCACAATTCCAGACTACTGAGATTTTTTGAAAAAGCCCAGTAATACTTAACGCGGCCTGGGTATCGAACCCGAGACCCCTTGCCCGGCAGTTGCAAATGCGACCACTCGGCCAACGGAGTCTGGAATTGTGCCCGGTATGTGGCAATAGGCTCACCCCCTATTACATGGGACTCATAACATAAATAGTGAAAAGTGGGTGTTACATTACACAGTTCAAATTCAAATTCAAATTCAAATTCTTTATTGCGAATATCAGTTGTATAATGTGCACCTCTGTCTACCCCTTCGGGGATAAAGACGTGATGATATGTTATTTAATAAGTTTCCGTAGATTAGCGCCATCGAAAAATAAATTCTCTAGTCTTATAATATTAGTTACGTCATGATTTTTTGTATTTCAGAATCCTATGGAGTATTTTATGAAGATTTGGGACGAAGCGTGTGAATTCGGTATTTGTAAAATAATTCCACCTCCAGGATGGAGACCGAAGTGTCAGAGTTGTGATGGTATCAGATTCGACGTGGCAAAGCAGTTTACATCTCGAATGTTCAACCGGTGGGGAACAGCAATGCGAGAATTGGCATGTATAAAGTATTGTGTCTCGCAGTCAACTAGTATTCCTTGGACCACGCCAACGGTAAGCATTGCTGCTATATATGCACCAACAGTAAACAATGTATGTTTAGTCTAATAAATTATTTTCATTCATAGCGTGTTGAACCAAAAAACATCGTAAAACCCCCACGATGGCATTCAAAAGCTAGTTTTTTTGTTATCATAGGAGTAATATCAAGGAATATCCCTATATGTATATGTTTAGGGAATACAAATCTAGTGAGAATGAGATCTCGCGAGACAAGCTATTTTTACCGACTTCAAAAAAAGGAGGAAGTATTATGTTCGGCCGATTTTTTTTTTTCGCGCAGTACTCCGTCATTTGTGAACCGATTCCCAAAATTCTTGTTTTGTTTGAAAGGGTATACTCCCGAGATGGTCCCATTTCCATGAGGTCAGGATCTAATGATGAGACGATATTCGCATCTTCTCTTTCTTACGTGTTATAATCAGCTTAGAAAGGTAAATAAATACGTACTTTCGTATTTTTCGACGAATTTCTTAACTTATAAATTTTTCATTCATAATTGGGTAATTTGAAAAAGTGTCATCTATAGGAAAAATTCCGTGTCAACTAAACGATATTGGCATCCTCTCTTTCTTAAATGTGGTAATCGGCTTAGAAAGGTAAATAAATACGTAATTTCACTCATTAATTCGATACAAATGTAGTAATAAATTCGTAAATTTTGATTCATAATTTGAAGAAATTGTAATAGTCATTATAATGCCATCTATGGAGAAATTGCCGAACTACTACAAAATGCCAAACACTCTTTGTGAAATCGATATTTGCACAATTTCACTGTAGGTGTCACTGCCATCACCGCCGCCACCCAACCATTGTGTGTGTGTGTGTGAGCGTGGTTCGTGTAGGAACTACTACTTCTTTGCAAACAAAACAATTTATACTTGAGCTTTACGCGAAATTTTGTTTTGATTGGTTTTCTGAGTGCAAGTAAATAAATTGTAATTGTAACCGTAAATGAATTATGGAAAATTGCAACAGTAAGATCTGTGCTGGTGATGTGTGTTTAAATGAATTAAACGAGTGAGAGATATCCGTGTTGTCGTTTAAAGATTTTTTAAGGCGTAAACTAAACGTGTTTGTGCCCGGATTAGGCGTAACTGAAAAAGTTAATTTTATTCGTTCTTTTCATAATAAAAGGTATTGTAACAAGTTGTAAGCGGCTAGAAGTTTGTATAGGTACAGAAAAAGTTTATGAAACGTTTTCTTGTTTTCAAATCAAGAGCCGAATGGAGTTGTGTTTTTTTTTTTCAATCATACTCGTGAATCGATATCTTCATTGAATATGGCAAATAAATAGTTTAACACAGACGGCGAGTACCTACAAGTACAAAAACCATTTTATCTTGGTCTCGTTTTGTACGATCTTTCTTCATATTCAACGATCAGTTTATACTGGTTGCTGACTGCCTCGTTGGCCGAGTGGTCGCAATTGCGACTGCCGAGCAAGGGGTCTCGGGTTCGATTCCCGGGTCGGGCAAAGTATTACTGGGTTTTTTAAAAATTCTCAGTAGTAGCACGGAGTCTGGAACTGTGCCCGGTATATGGCAATAGGCTCACCCCCTATTACATGGGACTCATAACATAAATAGTGAAAAGTGGCTGTTACATTGTACAGTGGTATAATGTGCACCTCTGCCTACCCCTTTGAGGATAAAAGGCGTGATGTTATGTTGTTTATACTGGTTTAGCATAGCTTAATGTGCGTACCTACAGTGTAAATTAAAGATTCATCGCGATTATTTCGTTTAAAATGCGGATTAGTGAACGGTGCAATGACATACTTATCATATTATTTTGGGTCTGGTTAGGCTATAACAATTCTTTTCTCATTTTCAAACCCAAAACAGTAAAAGTGGCAACGTCGCGCATTTGAGTTCATTGACCTGCGTCAATGAACTTAAAGTGTGTTTACGTTTTCTCAAAGAGAAAATGCACTTTTTGGCTCAACCGGTTTTGATTTTGCTCATTTTTTGTACATTCTCAGTATAGACGAAAACAAGTATGTTGTATAATATAGCAACGTAAGAGTTTTTCTACATACGGTATGAAAATAAATATATATTTTCACGATACTTTTCTCGGAAGTAATGAATTCTGCCTATAGTTACGTGGACGAAGTTAAATGCAAAAGATAGATTTTTTATGAATTTTAGGTATATAGGTGGTTTACTAAAGTAGCGCACTTTGACAAACGTATTTATCAAATCTTATTATAGATTATAATACATTTATAATACTAATACTTTCAGAAACATCATTCGTTTTAAAATAGCAAGTAAATTAGTATCAAATTTTGTTTTGTGTCACTAATTTAGCCAATAGAAAACCGTAAAATGGGGTGAATAGACACAACTTTTATGTTTCAAGCCGATTTTCTTACAATTTTTTGATCCATGTTGTTATAAAACATGTTTTAATTGTAAGTCGCGTTGTAATTTGCCAAATAATAATGCTTAAATTATGTAAAAATACGTTAATTAGTTGTTATTTAGGAAAATGTGGCCCGTTTCTATTTACCTGGAAACTGGGGTCAAAAGATACGAGAGAGGGGTGAATAGAAATAAAACGCTAGGGCTGTCAAAACTTATTTTTATTATAAGTACCTACCTAACTTGTTGTAGTAGGTAAGTACAGTGTGTATAAGAGAATATACCTATTGGTATGAGTGAGAGTGTTGAAGTTATTTTGCAGATGTGTGTGTAGTGTATTGTGGTGAGGTGTGGGTGTGTTGTGGTATGTAGGCAGGTGCGTTCAAAGATGTGTTATATAGGTATTATTATCTTAGGAAACCTAAGAACAAGTTTAGTTTAGTTTATCTTAGAACAAAGTAAACAAGTTTAAAGATATTAAAAAATAAAACAACTTCAAATTCCAACATAAACAATAAAAATTTTACGAAAAAAACTACTTATTTGGCAAAATATCTTAGGATCTATATGTTTCTTAGATTGAGATCAAGTTCGCATCACAACGAATCACAAAATGAGTTAGACATACTTCCACCCGGTTTCCGAAAGGCCGATCAATGTTAAAATCAATTATCTATATCTCTTGTCAAGTCATCTGATTGGTTGACTGAATTATCAACAACCAATCAGATGACTTCACAAGAGATTTGACACCTAGTTAGTTGATTTTAACATTGATCGGCCTTTCGGAAACCGGGCACTAGTAAATAATAAAAATCACATTAGAGTTAAGTTTTGGAAATCAAATAATGGCGTACTATAGGCCGACCGTTTAACTCGCGTATCGCGCAGGCTATACGCGAGTTAAATGGTCGGCCTATAGTTATTATTACCCTCTAATCTAATTCCATCAGATCTTTTAAAATATCATCGTCATTCTTGTAGTAACTGGGACGTCTAGAAGTGCTTGCAGTTTTATTTGTTAAAATTTTCTTTAATTCAGATTTGCTTTACTAGGGTATTAGAAAGAATTTTAATCTTTTTTGATTTCTTCTCACAATCTTCAACTTCATCGGTCCTTACAACAGTTTCGTGTCCTACATAATCCAAATCGTCTTCAAAAATTACAGGCATAGTATTTATATTGCAAGGACTGATGTTATACGAATAACTTGCAAGTTCTTTCTTAGGTGTATCTGCTTTTTCAATGATTATATTGTTAATATACGAACAACTTGCGCTTTCTTGATCAGGTGGATCTGTTCCATAGGAACAACTTGGAACTGCTTCATCAAGTTGATTTTCAGGTTTCGGTGGATCGTTTTCTTTGAAATCACTTTCTTTATTGGTTTTTGATTTTTTTCGTTTACCCTTCCCTTTGCCGACTTTGTCTGTTATTTTAATTTCTTTTTGCTTTTTCTTCTTTTCTTTTAGGTCTGAACAAGACACGTATTCTCGGTCAGTCTCAACATAGTCCTCGTCGCTTGAACATAACACACTTTTTCCTGCTTGAACTTGTAACTTTTTTTTTTTTTTGGTTCAACTATATTACCAGTCCCGTATCGCATATCTTTTAAGAAATTTAATACTGTCTCATCAACAGTTTCGGTTTCTTTAATTTCACCGATCCAATTAGGCAATTTTTTCAAAACTTCAGAAGGATTAAAAGGATATATCCCTGTTTTCCTAAAGCCAGATATAATATTAGCTGGACCATTTTCTTTTAGAGCGTCCATTAGTTTATTTAATAATTTGGGAAAACAACCTTTCGGAATCGATGCTTGATTCCTACCATCAGTTTTTTTCCAGTGTAATATTATGTTTCGCCATGCTATCTTCATTGGCCTAAAGAAAGCAACATCCAGCGGTTGCGTCAAATGTGTGGAGTTGGCTGGTAAAAATATAAAATGTATGTCCTTTTCCTGACATTTTCTTATTAAATCAATCGAAAGGTGGGAGGATAAATTATCGCCTATTAAACATTTTTTACCAGGCCTATTTTCAAAAAACGGTAGAATCATAGAGGTCACCCAATCTTCAAAAATGTTTAAATCAAACCAGCCAGATTGGCTTCTATTAAACCGAGATCCTTTTGGACCAGATTTTGTCCACGTATCGAACAAATTTTGGGCCTTGTAAACTACATATGGGGGTAACATTTCTCCTGCAGCCGTACCGGCCATCATAATTGATACTGCAGCTTTGGAATGATTCATCACCCTTTCTGGATATTTTGTACCTCTTTTGGTGATAATTTTTTTTTCGGCCAGGATCGTCCGCCAAATTTGTTTCATCGTAATTAATGATATTGCTGGCTGGAACTCCAGCAATCGATATTTTCAATTGTTCAAAATACGCCTCTATAATTTCAGAAGAGACGGCAGCTCGGTTTCTTTTAATATTCTGCGAAACTCGTTCCGATATTTTATCACAATGCCTTTTTAAGAAACTTCTTGAAAAATCCGGCCCAGGCAAATTATCTTTAAATCGTTTTTCAGTAATACCCAATTTATCCAAATAATTTTTGACTAGTATTCTTAAATCATACTGCTCTAGGGGATAGCCCCATTCAGCACAGACATTAATATATTTAATGAATGACAATTCCACCTCTTTTGACAGCACTGTCTGCCCCCCTAGTGATTTTAAATTTTTAATAGTATGCCTATAAAGGACAGACTTGTCAATTTCAAATTTTTTGGCAATGCAAGTTAAGGAATCACTATTTTTGTTGTATTCCCGAACAGCTTCTTCAATAAGTTCTTTAGGGTATTTTTTATACCGCTTACCTCGAGGATCGGGTTTATAAATTCTTGGCATGATGAGTGCAGCGCAATGTTGTGTACCTGTATAAAATAAATATCAAGTATTTACTGAACAATAGACATAAATCACACAAACACACACACACACACGCGCGCGCGCACACACACACACACACACACACACACAGGACACAGGCACACACAGCACACACATCACACACACACACACATACACACACACACACTTACACACACACTTACACACACACACTTACACACATACACACACACACACACACATACACACACACACACTTACTCATACTCACACACACACCCTCGCGCACACACACACAGCACAGGCTACATTTTATCTGACTTCGGTTTCGTACGTATACATGGTAAACGACACTTTTGCAAACAAGTAACAGGCAAAAACTAGTAATAACATAATTGAACAATTTAAACTATTTTATCGCTTATCGGCAGCCGTATATTAAAAAAGAACCAGATGTCCTTAATTTGAGTTCAAGCTTTGTATCAAATTTCATTAAAATTTGTTCAGCATTTTAGTAAAACGGATAACGGTAACAGATGACAGCCAAAAAAATAAATATTTAAATATAGTTAGCGATTGTCTACTAATTAATATGATTATTTTTTTAAGTGACAGCCGATTGACAACCCTAAAAATCATGTTTCTTTTAACCCCTGTCCCGTTGCTATTAACCCCTCACTCGTATCTATTCACCTCTTTCTGCGTATCTATTCACCCTAAAGGCGTTTCTATTCACCCCTCACTCGTATCCATTCACCTCGAATTCAAGGAAAAGTAATAGCATCCTGATTTTACTTGAAATAAGAAAGATACATTTGAATATTGACACTCACTTTTCTATTCGTAAAAGATAATCAACTTAACTAATGAAACACACAAATTCGCTAGGAGATAAGACTGAAAAACTTACGTTTAATAAAAAGTTTTACGCAGCCTAAAATCACTTGTACGCACACGTTCACTTTAACCGCTTTTTTCTTCATGTCATTACACTTGACGTAAAATTGTGTGTAGCCAGCATAAAGGCAAAATGTTGCCGTGTAATAAATAGTGGAAATAAATATTCTCTGATAGCCCATAGACCCACCAGAGACAACTTAATCAAATTCCCAAGTTTGTTTCTATTCACCCCGCGATTTCTATTCACCCCATTTTACGGAACTGCATTTAGCTTAAAAAAAATATGTTACTGTTGGTGCTGATGCTCTTGTCTTGATAACTGATAATCTTGATAAATAAAACTTGTTGAATTGTAGAAGTTTATTAAAACAATACTTGACATTAAAATGACTTGTGTGCACACTTGTATGGTCAATCGCGAACTGAACTAATAAGGAAAGCGTTGAATGCGCAAAGAGTAAAATTGCAATGACACAAATTCATGTACTTTGTACAATTACACTAAGCAACTATGAGAAAATCTTCCTTGATTTTTTAGCTACCCAAAAACATTACATTATTTATAAAATTCTCAAAAATACATTGATACCTTGATGATAAGTTAAGTGTAACGGAAAACGGGCAATTGCAAAAACATCGTTATTTACAAAATTTTGTATGATGAATGAATACATGCTTGCACACGCTTCCTTATCTCTGTGACGGTCACTTGAACTGAATGAGCGTCTTATTTCTTCAGCCGAATTACAAATCACCCCGTATAAATGAAACCACTATTCAACTTGAAATTTGGCCAATTCGTTATTTAATAAAGTGTTGATTGAAGTTCAAGGATGGTTTTTATGACGTGAAAAAAGCGATTAATTATCAGAAATCCCCTAAAAACAGGCCTTTTCTTTTCCCACATAAACGTTTTATAACTAAAACTTACAGTCATTTTGAGCTTTTGCTTTATTGTTATTGTATTAAATTCATATTGCAAGCACTCAATGTTGTCTAAGCAAAGTGTATGTGTTTCTTACGTTAGAGTCAATTTGCGCTTTATCAACCCTATACAAAGTTGAAATTCAATCATATGTATCAAGACAGTGTGCGTCTGTGCATTAGAACACAGAATACATCGTTTTAGGATTTAATGTCATGTTACAATGTTGAATAGTCACAAAATATTTTTGTACTTTTTATGACATTTTTTTGACAAGTTAGTTTACTGAGCCAATGGATCATTGACACATTTTTTTTAGTATAACTAATTACAAATGACTGAATACTAATATTAGTTCTTGAAAACCCATAAATTTACTATAAAAGTTTTCCAGTCTCCTTTTCCTAGTAAACAAGTAGCATCGCACCAGTACAAATCAGACCACACTATTAGTACCAGCACCAGAGTCGCCCGTATCCCAGAATAACGGGAAGTATGTAGTCTATCAGGACTCCTATCTTTTAAACCAATGTACTTATTTGTTTGAGATTCGGTTCAACTATAGTTTAAGACCTGGGAAAAGATGTATGATAGTATTCATCCCGAAAATCGGAAGCGGGAACTGCGTTAAACGTCTAGGGTTCTAGCTATCTTATAAACCAGAGCTCTCCAAATATAATAATGGCCGCATATATGGCCTATCTAACAAAAATCCTATAGTAAAGCAATCTCGTTAATCTCTCGAGATCTCGTCCATTTTTCAATCGAGGTTAATCTTGTTAAAAATGGGCGAGAATTCGTGCGTTCTCTAATCACGTCGTATTTTACAGGTTGGAGGTATGGAAGTTAATTTACCTAAGTTATATCATAGCGTGCAACGACACGGTGGACTAGAACTTGTCCTTAATAAAAAACGTTGGGGCAAAGTTGGACGCGACATGAACTTGTCTATGAGTATAAACTATCTAAATAGACTGGATCATCTCTACTCGAAGTACCTTCTACCCTATGATTCTCTTTCGCCAAGTAAGTTGACCACTGCTTAGAGTTAATTATTCGTCTTAAGTTTTCTGTGGTTGTTTATGAACAAAGTGATCCATTGAATCATGTTACTTTTTTTTTTAAAGCTGAAAGAAGGGAGATCTTTGGATTGATTGAAAAGGCATGGACTCGAAAAAATCAAAGGCTGTTGGACCGCGCACTGAACCCCTTTCGTGCGCAGAATCGTTTGATGGGGTTAAATGACATTCAGGAAGAACCGGAAGAACAGTCTCTAGTCATGAATGCTGTCAAAGAGGCAGAAGATTGCATCGTGCGAGGCCCAATCATGAACTACACTAGATTTAAAGAAGTTAATAACTTTGCATAAATAAATCATTCACGTTCCCTGTGCATCATATAGAGTACTTGTCATGACACACTTGAATCAAATTCAAGAACTTTTTCCTATTATTTTCAATTGAATTTTTGTTATCACTAAACAAAAATATCTTGTGCTTATTTTTATAAATGTTTCAATAAAATAATAACTGGTTAGTAGAACACGAATTTATCACTAAAGAGATACCTTACTTTGCAGCTCGCCGAGTCTACATACAGTGTCATTTATGGTTTTGGTACCAATAGAGAGAACAATCCTATGACTCTTGAACAGAAAGAAGAGTTGTACTGGCGCTATGTGACTCAGGGCAACGAGCATATTTGTGTCGCCACCGCCGCTATTGATACTGGTTCCGACCCTTCGCGAGGAAGTAGCCGTACGTTAACCTTGAAGGTAATTATAAATGACTCGTATAATAATAACACCGCATTCAACAAACCGAATGATTATTATGTATTCAATAAGTAATGAGGTTTTAGGAGCTAGGTAGGAGAGCCTAGTGTCCTAGAGGAGGTTTCTTCTTATCTTCTAGTAGTAGTAAAACTCCGATGAGAGGTGTTGACAAGAATGATTTTATTTCGCCAAACTACGCTACTTATATTTCTATTTACATATTTACAACTAGACAAGATCAGATATAGTTAGGTGATAGTTTCGACCAATAGCGGCGCGCCGGCGTGCGCGGGGCGCGCGGGGTGCGGGGCGCCGCTTTGCACACGGCACTATCGGTTCCTTCCGTATAAGTATGACCGCGCGGCGCGAGCGCGCGCATTTCTCCGAGAGCCGGCGTCGAGTGAAGACTGAAGACTACCTACAGATGAATGAAGATGAATGCAAGTACTCCGGCTCCGGCTCCGGCTCCGCTTGCGCTGCTTGGCTGCTTGCTTTACCAAACCGCTTCTTTCGAAGCGATCGCTCGCGGCACGGTGTGATAACGCTGTTGCCGCAGTGATGATTATCGTTTCTATGCAGGAAAGTCGAAAACTGTCTTTTTCAAGACAATTGGTTTCTGGTTTCTTAAAACGGAGTCAAAACGTAAACTGTCTTTTTCAAGACAATTGGTTTCTTGTTTCTTTAAACGAAGTGAGTCTATAACTTTGGTAAAGGTATTGTGGAAGGTATCTGGTATATGGAAAGGTATTCGGTGGTACTGGTAACTGGTAGGTATGTAGTCGTGCGGTGCGGCTACAGTACTCCCCCCCGAGCGAAGCGTACTGGGGTCTTGACGATCCTTCCTGTTCGCGTTTTTCGTACATCGCTGATGCTCGACGGAGGTTGACTGGGTTGATCCTGGATAGCCTCTGGTAGCGTTGCACAGTTGTCCGAGTTATCGTAATTAATGACGTAGGCAGGCTTCAGACGCTCGATAGACACGTTGGTAGTACCTCTAGGTGTTTGTAATGTGAAGTACTTGTCGCTTCTGCTGGAGACTAGGTACGGACCCTTGTACGGACGTTGCAGCGGTTTGCGAACTGCGTCGTCACGTACAAATACGTGGCTGCATGTTTGCAGGTCTTTGTGCACGAAGATACTCAGTCGGTTAGTGTGCGACTGATAAGCGGGCGTTAAGCTTGTGATAACACGATGCAAGTCAGCCACATAGTCGTTATCCATCTTCGTGTAGGTAGGCGATGGCGATATGAAATCGCCGGGTAGCCGTAGTTCTTGTCCGTAGATAAGTTGAGCGGCACTAGTGTTAGTGTCGGTGCGCGTAGCGGCTCGTAGTCCCAGTAGCACGGTAGGTAACTCGATCAACCATTTGTTGTTGTCGGCGAGTCGAGTCATGAGCGCGGCTTTCAATGTACGATGCCAGCGTTCTACGATCCCGTTACTCTGCGGGTGGTAGGCAGTAGTACGAGTTCTTTCTACTCCCAGTAGCTGAGCGAGATTTTTGAATAAGCTGCTCTCGAACTGTCGTCCTTGATCAGTCGTGATTTTGATAGGACAACCAAAGCGTGATATCCATGCTTCATACAGCTTTCTTGCGACGACTTCGGCTGATATCTCTCGCAGAGGGACGGCTTCTGCCCAGCGGGTGCAGCGGTCGATCATAGTGAGTAGGTATCGATGTCCGCTCGAAGATGTAGGCAGAGGTCCGACGATGTCAATGTGTACGTGTTCGAAACGCTCGCTCGGTGGGAATGATGTGACGTCACTGTGCGTATGTCGATGTACCTTTGATTGTTGACACTGAATGCATGACTTTGCCCACTCGCCAATGTCGGTGTTCATAGACGGCCAGAAGTATCGTTGCTGCATTAGTTTGCGTGTAGTTCGAATACCAGGATGACTTGTATTGTGCACGGCGTTGAATGCGATGCGACGAAAGTCAACTGGTAGGTATGGACGAATGTGAGGCGTCGATACTTCGCAGTAAATCGGCTTGTTTAAAGTAGGTATGACGATTTTCTTGAGTTGAATATTTGTTTGTTTACATAGGTTGAGAATATTGCTGTCCTTTTCTTGTGCTTGAGATAGTTGTTCGTAGTCTATCGGCGATGGTAAGTCGATCGTTTCAACGCGTGACAGTGCGTCGGCGACTACGTTGTTCGCTCCGGTCACGTGACGTAGGTCGGTCGTGAACTCGCTTATAAACAACAGCTGACGAGTGCGTCGTTGTGTGTCGTTGTCCGACGGCGGCTTGCGTATTGCGTAGGTAAGCGGCTTGTGATCGGTGTAAACAATGAGTTCTCTTCCTTCGAACATTTTTCTAAAGTGTTTGATCGCCATATATATTGATAATAATTCTCGGTCGAACGTACTATAACGTTGTTGTGTTTCTGAGAATTTCTTCGAGAAATAGCCGAGGGGAACCCACTTGTTGTTTACAAGTTGTTGTAGGACAGCTCCAGCACAGGTGTTCGATGCGTCACACATGAGTGATATTGGTTGAGTTGGTGACGAGGATGGGTGAGCGAGTAAAGCTGCGTTTTGTATGCTAGCTTTACACAACTCGAATGCTTGAAGTGCTTCATTGTTCCACTCGATTTTTGTTTTATCGCGTTTCTTGGAGTTATGTAGAAATGCGTTTAGCGGCGCTTGTATGTGGGCCGCGTTACGTATGCTGTCACGGTAAAAGTTCACCATGCCGAGAAATCGACGTAGGTCCGCTATTGTTTCGGGTTTGGGGTAAGCAGTGATAGCGTTGACCTTATCAAGTGGAGGTTCGATTCCTTCGCTCGACACTTGATATCCTAGGAACTTGACGTTTTCTTGACCGAAGACGCATTTTGACGGGTTTATAGTGATACCGTAGTCATTTAGTCTTCGTAGTACTTCTTGTAGATCTTCGATGTGGCGTGCGTTGTTTTCTGACGCGATGATTACGTCATCAATGAATGGAAATGCGAAGTCTAACCCGTTGAGTACTTGATGTATGAACCGTTGGAATGTCTGTCCCGCGTTTTTTAAGCCTGGACACATTCGGGGAAACTCGAACAAGCCAAACGGGGTTGTTATGGCTGTTTTCTCGATGTCGGGTTCGTAAACGGGTAATTGTTGGTATGCACGATTCAGGTCGAGTGTGGTGAAAATCTTCTTGCCGTGGAGTAGGTATGTGAAGTCTTTGAGGCGAGGTACAGGGTAGCGGTCGGGTTTAGTTACGTCGTTGAGTCTTCGGTAATCGCCGCATACCCGTATGTCGCCATTCTTTTTCGGGACGACGTGTAGTGGGCTGGACCAGGGACTTTTGCTTGGACGGCATAATCCCTGCTGCATCATGACTTCAAACTCTTTCTTCACGGCCAAGTATCGATGTGGGGGTAATGGCCGGGTTTTGCTATGTACAGGTGGACCGGTGGTTTCAATGTGATGTTCCACGCGGTGTTTGGGAGTGGTCTTCATGCATGATGGTCTTAGATATCGGGGAATTGACTCAATATTTGATGATACGGCTGTTCGACGTCTATGCTTCTTACAGTTGGCTCGGCGGAATATGAGATTGGCGCTTTGACGGTGAGGTTGGTTACTTTGTCGACAAGACATCGACCGGCTATGTCGACGAGTAGTTGGTGGTGGCGTAGGAAGTCGGCGCCGATGATTGGCTTGCTGACTTCAGCGACGATGAATTTCCAACTATAAGGTCGGCGTAGGTTTAGGTCCAATTGTAGCGTCTTCTCACCGTAGGTAGGTATAACCGTGTTGTTTGCGGCGTATAAACAGAAGTCAGTTGGGTTATCTTCACGCCTTTTCGTTTAGGGATGACGGAGACGTTTGCGCCAGTATCAATTAGAAATGACAGACGTGAGTTTCTGTCTGTTATAAACAGGCGGTATGACGTAGTTGTTGCGCCGGTTCCCGCCTCATCCAACGCACCTTTTAGTTTTCCGGACGGGTGTTGTTGTTCTGGAAATTACACGGACGTGTGCATCGCTGTGCCTCCTTCCCGAACTTGCGGTGGTAATAACAAATTCCAGAAGATTCCGTGCGGCGTGGAGTGTTATCGCGCTGTCTGGACTGGGAGCGATATCGGTTCGATGATCGCGATCTGTTCTGAGGTCGTCTCGACTGACGGTTGCAACGATGGTTAGATTGTGCTGCTTTGAGTTCGGCGATTTCCCTCGTAAGCATATCGATTTTGTCTTCAATACTTGTAGGTACTCGGGGGAAAGCGGGGTTTTCAATCACAGCAGCGACTGTGCCATGAGGTTGCGTCTGTTCGAGTATTTTGTCAGCCATCATCGCTAGATCGTGGATGTCCGAGTGTTTAGCGATGTTGTCGCTGACAGCGAGGACTGCGCGCACGGACTGGGGGAGGTGGTTTGTCCACATAATACGAAGCGCAGCGTCAGATATATTATCCGCGGCGAGATTCTTCATCCGGCGAAGTAACTGTGATGGTTTTAAGTCTCCGAGCTCCATCTCGGAGAGAAGGCGTTGAACTTGACGCTGTTCAGACTCCTCATAGACCTGGAGTAGTCTGTTTTTGAGGGTTTCGTAGCGGTCTCTCTCCGGAGGATGAAGGATAATGTCGGATATTTCATCGAGGTCTTGTCTTTCGAGATGACCGACGACAAGCTCAAACATGGCTTGGTCGCCCTTTTTCTGCGGAGACATAATCGCCTCGAACTGCGCAAACCATAGGCGTATTCTGTCGCGCCATATGGGTGGGATGCGCAGTGACGTCGACACGCTGGAGAGTTCCGGCGTTTTTTCGTTGGAGTTGGACATTACGACGAGCTTGATTTTCTGTAGTACTAGGCGGCGATTGATTGATTCTTGCAGAGATCCGTTGATCACGTCGGGGTCACCAGTTTAGGAGCTAGGTAGGAGAGCCTAGTGTCCTAGAGGAGGTTTCTTCTTATCTTCTAGTAGTAGTAAAACTCCGATGAGAGGTGTTGACAAGAATGATTTTATTTCGCCAAACTACGCTACTTATATTTCTATTTACATATTTACAACTAGACAAGATCAGATATAGTTAGGTGATAGTTTCGACCAATAGCGGCGCGCCGGCGTGCGCGGGGCGCGCGGGGTGCGGGGCGCCGCTTTGCACACGGCACTATCGGTTCCTTCCGTATAAGTATGACCGCGCGGCGCGAGCGCGCGCATTTCTCCGAGAGCCGGCGTCGAGTGAAGACTGAAGACTACCTACAGATGAATGAAGATGAATGCAAGTACTCCGGCTCCGGCTCCGGCTCCGCTTGCGCTGCTTGGCTGCTTGCTTTACCAAACCGCTTCTTTCGAAGCGATCGCTCGCGGCACGGTGTGATAACGCTGTTGCCGCAGTGATGATTATCGTTTCTATGCAGGAAAGTCGAAAACTGTCTTTTTCAAGACAATTGGTTTCTGGTTTCTTAAAACGGAGTCAAAACGTAAACTGTCTTTTTCAAGACAATTGGTTTCTTGTTTCTTTAAACGAAGTGAGTCTATAACTTTGGTAAAGGTATTGTGGAAGGTATCTGGTATATGGAAAGGTATTCGGTGGTACTGGTAACTGGTAGGTATGTAGTCGTGCGGTGCGGCTACAAGGTCAACAGGAGTGAAGATATTGGTATACATTACAGACTACATGCTATTTATTACCCAGATATTTTTGGTAACCGATAAATCGTCAATAATACTACTGAATACTAAGAAAGAGTTATTATTGATTCCAGGATATTAGCCAGAATAAAGACAATATCCTTCGCTTCCTGGGCGCTGTGTCCGGTTTAACTGCACCCACTTTAAACCTAGGGATGGCATTTTCAACAAACTGTTTCTACTTGGACCCCCACGCTGTGTCGTGGCTGGACTTATTATATAAAGGAGATCCAAGAATATGGTAATCCGTTGTTTTCATTTAAACTTGTATTCATTAATTTTTATATGCATATACAATTTATTTTTAAAATTAACAGGTATGCGATTCCAGCCAAGCAGACTGAGAACTTTAAGAAGGCAGTTAGCTCTCTCTGTCCTTCTTTTTGTCAAAGGAAATCTCTGTGGCTCTCGACAGATATAGCTATGATACCGCCCCACCTTCTTCGAGAGTTCAATGTGTCGGTGACGCGCGTCGTACAGGAAGAAAATGAAATAATACTGGCTTTTCCCTACTGTTACACCTCCTCTATAAACACGGGCTATTCCGAATCAGAGAGCATTTATTTCGCACCGCTTTCCTGGCTAAATACCGCCTACGACGTGTTCAAGGTCAGTTCTTAGTGTAAAATTAGTGTACATTAATATTATATAGAGAAAACATTGGATTATTTGTTTTTTGAATTGAATAGGCTCCGAAACTAGCAGATCGTTTTTTGAAACATTCTTTTACAAATTGAATCCTATTTTAACTGACAGTTTTTTGACAAGTGAGTTTCATGCCAATGGATCATCACTTTTTTTGTTATCATGATATAACATTAAGGTATGGCAAGAGGATGACAACAGTCTAAAGAAAGAAATCCACGAATAAAATATTTTAGTTCATATTTTGTAATACATCAAAAAAATTAATTAAACAGGTCTAAATATTATGTGCGGTCGAAGTCTCGGGGAACAGCTAGTGATTTATAAATCAGCATCTGTAGCGAAATGCCATTTTAGCATACTTGTAGAGTAGAAAACGCAATGTATGGAGATGACACTGACAAAATGTCGTAATGTAGTTTTCTATTTGTAGGCAAGCACTAAGTGGCATTTGGCTACAGACACAGTGTCTGTTAGAATTTAATCGAAAGCAAAAATTACGCATTTCTTACGGAACGCGACAATGTTAGCGCCACTGCGTCGCTTAGCCATTTAGACTTTAAAGCATGCTTGGAATTCATGTAACGACGATTCTCTGTGTAGCATAAGTTAACATCGGACGTCACGACATTCATGTTTAATAAAAATGCAAATATAAATTTTTAATTAAAAACGAATTGCAGGAGGCTCGTGAAAATTGTGAGCCTACAATGTTCTCGCTCGAAGAGCTGCTATTGCGAATAGGCAAAGCGAGTTGTGTGGACATGGCCACTCTCAAAGTTGCACAGCCGATTTTTGATAAAGTCTTGAGAGATGAGATCACAAAGAGGCTTATTTTGCAAGAGAGAGGCATCAAAATCGTGCACCAGGTAATTCAACACTTCCTATTATGTCAACTTTATGAGTTGTTTCAGGCAGTGCACTATCCACACGGATACTCTGCGCCTGGCTTACTTATCTAGACCACTACTTACGACAATCGTACAGGTTAATGTAACAGATATTCCTCTATAACTTACTAAACTTTTATCCCATTTGACCTGTGGGTATCAGAGAAAATATTTGTGTTTTTATGATATTGCATAACATACTGTAGATTGCGTAAAATAGTTATTTCTACTTTCTTATGTATTGATGCTAAATAATTACTTTGGCTATCAAGAAATGAAATCTTTTTTAAATAAAATCATAATGCTTAGGTTAGCTAAAAAATAGTTAATTTGTTAAGGCAGGGCTGTCCAAACTATATACCCTCGCAGGCCAATTAAATTTCTTACAAAAGCTGGAGGGCCAGAAACATATTTTCAGTTGTATAAGGACGTTTAATATTGTATTCTTTACTAACAGACAAAACTTAGACTTACAGTAGACAAATCATACGCTGAATTTTATTATTGTTGTTGCACCTATGTTGAGATTAAAATGTGTGTCGCGGGCCACATGAAAACAAGCCGTGGGCTGCATGCGGCCCGCGGGCCTTTGTTTGTACAGCCCTGTGTTAAGGTATGTTGTTTTCTCTGTGTCTAATGGGATAGCATTATAGTATATTATAGAGGAATATCTGTTACATCAACCTCCTTAAGCCATTATTACTACACCCTGTATGTACGTGAATTTATACCATATTCTATACATTGTTTTAGCCTGATATTCCTAAACCAAAAAATACGGGTCGACGCAGAAGACGAAACAGAACATTCATTCAAGAAGAATGTGAATACTGTAGAGCTACACTGTTCTTCTCTAAGGTGAGTCCTATTCAGTAAGTCACTTTTGGACGTGCTGTTACTAACAATAATTCATGATCAAATTTTTTGTACACAGGTTGTCGGTTTAGTGCGCAACTCCTATCTATGCTTAGAACACGCACTAAAATTATTGACCGTTAAGAAGATGATTATAACTGATGATATGCAGATTGTTACGAAAGTAACAATTGAAGAACTAAATAATGTCAACGATGACATGAAAAGACGAATTGAACATGGCTATGTGGTACCAGAAGTCATCATTGATTAAACTGTCACGGGATAATTGTGTATGTTGTTTTTCAAAAGCATGTTATTGAAATAACGTGAATATATATTTTTAAACGTCAGCACCAGTCTACTACCAATTATATAACCTTCTGCGGGGGAACTTGGCTACTATAGTCAGAATTTTAATTAGATTCCAGATTTGACAATAGCTACTGTCATTTTGTGAAATAATGATACCACATTTAATAGTGTAGTGATGCACACAAAAATCGATAAACAATCAGTGTGTGTGTTTTATAATAAATGTAACAGAAAGTCACAGGATAGCGATAGCGATGACGGCGACAATTTATAAAATAACTTATTACCATAATACATCTATCTGTTTTATATGTCATGTTCCTTCATGATTACATTTTTTTATTTATTTCACACATAATTATAAAAGAAAAGTCTCAGATCGTGAATTAATTGTCAAAACTAAATTATCGGTTCAGAAATATTTAATTACCTGATATACTTAGTTTACGAGAGTGAAATTATAAACGAGAAGAATCGATCCAGAAATATTGCATTTCCATACCGAATAATTTCGCAACGTCACTATTTAGTACTTGTCATAACGTTGCAACACTGAAATTGTCAAATCTGGAATCGAATTAAAATTCCGAGTATAGAGATACAATTTGGACACAATAACTTGTGACACAAATTGTATCTACAATAGTCAAGTCATAAGTAAGGTTGGTTCTTGAAGGTGGTCGTTAGGCGCTTACAACCAACATCACCGGTGCACCAGTACAACTGTATTCTGTACCTTTTTTAGTTGAACTTTTATTTTCAACAGATATTTTATTTAGAATCTTGTCTTCTTATCCTTGCTATTATATCTAGGATATAAGAATATATTTAATATTGTTAAGTTGATTCGAATTTTAGGAACAACAAACTAAAAACCAAAAATAATCAATACATTGCATACAACAATAGATCACACCAGAAAGTAGAGGAAAGCGACGAGTTTTTTTTATAGTGTAGTCTTTTATAGGTATAAATATGATTGTTGTACAACACGTGGTCCTTGTCAGGCGGAAAAGTTGTTCCACAGAGCTGCTACCGGTCCACTCCCGTTTATTGCACAGCCACGAGTTTTCCTTCGCTCAGCGCTTTCCTTCCCTTCCACCTTACCCATGATTACATAATCAATTAAATTAATCAAGATTAGATATTAATTATTATTCGTACTCGGTACCTAGTCCTAGCAACAAAACCTGAATGTTAAGAAGTCGATGCCCTAAGCCTATAACGATTGTCGCGAAGAACCTAATGTGTTACCGGGACTCGACGTGCAGGAGAAGGAACGGGCTGGTTTTTAGTCAGTAAAAGTCTGACACTCCCTTCCGCCTCACCCAGGCGGGAGCAATCATTCGATTATTTTCCCCCTTAAAAAAATCCTATAACGAAGTATTAGTGACCATTACTCATAGCAGAGTTGGGCAAATTGTAATCAGATTAATGATTAAGGATTACGATTACATTTTGTAATCGTCAATCAAGATTACAGATTACGGAAATTAATCAAGAAAGTAATCATATCAGTGATTAATGATTATTAGTTTGTAATCGTATTTTTGATTACTTTTTTGATTGATGCATACTAACTACATTTAGGAATTCGAAAAATAAAATCCTGTGAAATCGTTCGATCAGTAGGTACATCACTAGTACTACCATCTCTAATATTTGGTTGCAGTTGGTTGGATGTTCTAGTAGACCGTTTATTTTTTTTTCATAGTTTTCAAGTAACTCTGATACTTGTTGTGTGTTTCTTCCCCGTGTCTTCGTTTGAGATGAGTTACAAAATTTGATGTAGAATTATTAAAACCACTAATTTTAACTAGTTTTGGCCTACAAAATGTACAAATTGCCACTTTCTTTTTGTTCGTGAACTCCGATTCCGAATACGTAAAAATTTTTCCATCAAGTACAAAACATCCATGACATCCCAATTGGATCAGTAGTTTTTAGAAAAACTCAGACATACAAGATACATACTGATTGAATATAGAACCGCATTTATTAAAAATATGTTTAAAAAATTAATCAAATCTACCCATGTAATTAGGATTACTGACTATTGTAATCAAAATTAATGATTACAAATGTAGTCATGATTGAAAGTAATCAAGATTAAAAGTAATCATGATTGATGTAATCATGATTACTTTCAATCAGATTATTAATCCGATTACAAAAGTAGTTGATTACGCCCAACTCTGACTCATAGTCATAATAAGTGTTTGAGGTACACCTACATAAGGTTACTTAAATTGTTTAGTTTATGTGATTATTATTATTATTTTGTTTCTAATTTATGGTTTTTGAAGTCAGTTTTTTAAACATAGGTTTATTTTATTTCTAACTTTTTAGTAAGTAAGTAAGTAAGTAAGTAAATCATTTATTTGCGTAAAACATGGTATACATTGGTGTTAATATTGTTACAATAGCTCAACATGTTTCGCTAAGGTAAAACATAGCATGCAAAAGTTTGTTATTTTGACAGAAGTGAGCAGGTAATTAACATTTAACATTCATAAAATCACATAAACTATAAAAATTACATTCATTGAGCCATTTGTATAATTCGATCTTAAGTCTCCTTGTGTTCATTACTTTAAAGCGACTTGGTAATTTGTTATAAATACGTACGCACATTGCTAAACAGTTTTTATTGTATTTGGCAAGTCTTGGCAAATCACTTAATACCAGTTTATGAGGGTCTCGTCTGTTTCTAGGATTGATATAATGTGCTGATTCAAATAATCTCTTATTGTTAGCCACAAATACACATACCTCATATATGTACAGACACGGCAGAGGTAGCAAACCAAATCTTTTAAACACTGGTCTACAAGAGCCATCAGGTTGAAGACCACTCATTGCTCTGATGCACTTTTTTTGTGCGACAAATGCTCTATCCATATTGGTGCTATTACCCCACATTACGAGGCCGTATCGCAACAGCGACCCAACATAGGCGTAGTATGACATAATTGCAGTTTTTATGTTAGTTATATTTTTAACCTGCTTCAGTGCGTATACAAATTTATTTATTCGAGTGCTTACATTATCCACGTGCTCCTTCCAGTTAATATCTCTATCTATTGTTACGCCTAAAAACCTTGTATGTGTTACCTCTTTTAGTTTATCTATATTAAGTAGTACATTTTTTTATTATTATTTGATCGATTAAATTGAATATAAACGGATTTATCTAAATTTATTTTTAAATTATTCATGTCAAGCCAAAGCAGTAATTTGTCTATTGTATTATTAATGTCAAACTCATGGTCCGTCTTGTTTTTCTTTTTATCTGATGTCACTATGATGGATATGTCGTCAGCAAATAGTATGCATTTATATTCGGTTATTTTTATTATGTCATTAATATATAGAAGAAACAATATCGGACCCAGAACACTTCCTTGCGGGACGCCACACTTATTTTGCCTATATTCTGACGAGAACGGTATCATATCTCTATTATTGTTTTATTTTACTAATAATGACACGTTGTTGTCTCTCGTCTAAATATGACGATATCCAGTGGAGTGCAGGTCCTCTAATTCCAGTAGTCTCTAGTTTGTCCAACAATGTGCTGTGCGACACGAGATCGAAAGCCTTAGATAAATCAAAAAAAAGTCCAGTAGTCAGATGATTATTTTATTTGTGAGTATTGTCTTCATAGAGAGAAAATAGCTAATGATGTGGATTTTATTTTTTTGGAACCCAAACTGTTCAGAACTATTATTTGAAATTTATTAAAAAATCAATAAGCCTTTTATACATACATTTTTCATAAATTTTAGAAAAAATTGGAATTAACGTAATTGGACGGTAATTATTAATATCACTTTTATCTCCTTTTTTGTATAATGGCTTAACAATAGATAATTTTAACCTATCGGGAAATGTTCCTGTTGTAAATGACATGTTTATTAGGTAAGTTAAAATATCAGTCAATTCATCACAGCAAGATTTTATAATTTTAGTACTAGTTTCGTCATAGCCCTCTGATCTAGTGTTGGACAGGGACATTATTTCATGGCGCACTTCGTTTTCTGACATTGGTATAAGAAACATTGAGTTGACAGATATATTTTGCCTATAATTTTGAACCGCTCGAGCTTGCGTTAATGCATTAGTTAGATTCACGTAATGATTATTGAACGCAGTAGCTATTTCTATAGGGTCTGTAACTACAATGTCATCCAATTTAATTGCATCTATGTTATCTTTGAGGGAAGTATTACTTATAACATTTTTAATGACATTCCAAGTGGCCTTACACTTATTGTCTTGTGTTTCTATATATTATGTTCGCGATTTTTTTTGAGCTGTAAATACATTTTTTGAGCAAATAAGAATATTTTGTGTATTTTATTCTATTAGAATTATTTTTTGTTTTATAATATTCGTAACGTAGTTTTCGTTTTGTAATGCAACTTTGTCTAAGACCCCTACTACCCACTTTTGCGTGTTCTTTATATTACTGTTGACCCTAACTCTTACTTTCAGAGATTGTAAAAAAGACACCATAGGTCATGAAATTCATTAAAGGCAGGGTTTAAATCTGTATTCATATATACATCAGACCAGTAGAGACTCTGTAAGCATTCCCGGAATTTCCGGATATTATTTAGGTTGAAATCTCTTCTATAAACGTAATAAATTGATGCCTTTTTTGGTACACTTTCAGTAGGAAAGCTAAGCATTTGTGCTGTGTCATGATCCGAGAGATGCAAAGGTAGTACAGTTGAGGTAGCATTGGGAATGTTGCTCAGAATATGATCAATACAGGCCAATTTACGTGTAGGAATATTTATGTGGATTTTTAAATTATAATTACTGCATAAGTCTTCTAACTGATTAGTGATATTCCCTTTTTTTAGTGTATTTATATTCAAATCACCAGCTATAACTAAATTAACTTTAGATTTGTATTTATTTATTAAATCGTGCAAGAGTTTGTGTAGTTTCAATAAAAACTGAGTTGGATCAGATTGAGGCGTACGATAAACACATATTATAACTAATTTACCGCCCATTAATTCTATGCCGCAGGCTTCAAACGTATTTTGAGTTGCATAGTTTTTAACCAATAACAATTCTTTACAATTTAGTTCTTTTCTTACTAATATACAGGTGCCACCCTTTGCCGTTCTCTACAAAAGTTTGCAACCATAACATAATCATATTTTTTACATAATTTTCATAACCCTTTTTTACAAAAGTTTCAGAAAGACATATTACATTTGGATCATTATTTTCGTCCATTAGTTCTTGTATGGTTAGTTCCAGTAGTTCTTGTTTGGATAGAACACTGGCGATATTTTGATGAAATATTTTAAAGTGGTGCGTTTTGATGGCTTTAGTTACGAAAAAATGATTCGCACTTATTTAATGCAGGAAAATAATACGGTATAGTTCCTTTCCGAATATTTGTATTGGGTTGCATGAGGTTATTGTTTTTAGGACCCCTAACAGTTTCAATCTGACTTTGTTTCGTGAAGTAGTAGGGAATTGTCCCTTTTTTTGGTTCAATGTTCAGTTTAACACTAGACTTGCCACTTGCTATTCTCTTTCGAATTTCGCTCGGGTTTAGATATTTATATTCATAGTCACTATAATCTATTACAAAATTAATTGACCTACAAATATCAGACAATTTGGTGCTTATTTGGTTTACAAAGTGACATTTTTTATACTTACTACATAATTTATTTATAGAATTGTTTATTTTATTGACATTCAGGAAAACATTATTTACGACATTTAATACAATTATAGTATTATTACTAAATATATCCAATATATCTCTCAATTGGGACAAAATAATACTTATGTTATGGTCATTTTCACCTATACAAATTACAACTTTATCATCTGTTGTTAGTTTTACATTTCTACAGTTGGATAATACTTCGCTACATGGTGCATTCGGTTTAGTTAGAGCAAAGAGTTGATACTTTTCATATTGTGTATTTGCCCTTGAATGGGACAAGGCTGCAGCCAACCCGACGCAACGTTGAGTACCGATAATATGTATTTTTTTTCCGGAAACTACAGTTTGCCTTTGCTTGCCACTGCAGGTTGCAATACAATCCGGATTCCGTTCCGTTTCTTGAATGCGGAGATCGCATGTGTTTTGACTTTGCATCAATATTGTAATACGTTCAGTGAGAGCTGAAATTTCCCCCTCAGCGGTCTGTAATAGCTGTTGTAGGTTTAGGATTTCCTGTTGAAGGCGCAATACATTTACGTGATCAGTAACCTCCACGTTCAATGTGGATGACGATGGAGACGATGGCGTAGAATGCACGTAGTGTGGTTGTGACAGAGCGTGCTTCTTTTTCTTAGAGCTCGTACCCGGATATCCGAATATAGATGAAGAATGACACAAGGATTTCAGAGTATCATTTTCTGTGCATAACTTTTTTATTTGTTTATGTAGTTCGGTATTTTCTAGCAATATGTTACCTAGTTCATTTTCTGTACTTTCCAGCTGAAGTGTAAGTTGAGCTATAGTTTCCTTCATTTCCGAGACGGAGACCAAGTCTGTTACAGTTCTGTCTACACTTCTCGATAGTCTATTAGAAGTGGTATACGATTCATCATATGATTCGCAGTCAGTGAGTATATGAGAGTCAAATAATTTTGCATCACTTTGAGTTGCAGACAGACGTTTCGACGTATTATCGGCAGAACCTTTCTTTGTGTTTGGTATTTTTTTTATTGGTGACGGGCTTTTAATACAATTCTGCCTCTTCCTTACGGTAATGTTGGAAACTCCCTCGTTAATAGCATATTTTTTATTTCTAATACATAACTTGCATCTCCATTTTTTTTTTGCTTCTGGGTCTTTGAGTCGGTATGTAGGTTCTGGATAACCATCGCAATCAAACTCATATCTGTTTTCACATGCGGAACACAAAGCGGTACTTTTTATATTCACGTCTTTTTTACATTTATGACACCTTACTAGTGATGCCATCTTGTGTACGTTTTTTCTATTTGTAGGCTTATAACTAGACACCCCACATTTAATCGATGGAACCGGGAGAAACAATATTTATGTGATTCCAAATATCATAACATCAATAATCAATGAATAAATACAATTTATAAATTACAAAAAGAGCAATCCGTTTTGGCCGAGGTTCGAACTCGAGGTTCGTCGGTCAAAATGGTATAGGCCTGGGCCGCTACGCCACACGAGTCGTTAGGAAGTAATTGAAATATGTGACCCAATTGACTGTTTCTATAGAAAACATTATGACACAAATATGTATGATACCTTTATGATAGTTTTTTAGGTATACCGTCAACACTTTTTTTTTGTTATCACTAGATATTTTACTGAGCTTTTATATGCACTGAGATGAATCTCACTTTGGCAATTATATGCAGTTATACAAAAATACTCGATCACTTTTGTTCTATTGATTTATGTTCTAATACTTTTATTGATACTGTCACTGTTACACTGTTTATATTTTTAAGTTTTGACACACTGGTAATTTTGGTATTTTCAATGCATTTTTCCTGGTTTGTTTACTTAGATAACACTATCACTTGTTACTTATAATAAATTGAGAATGTTTTATTACTTATTTGTTGTTTTCGTAAGTTATTACTATTTTTAATTATTTAAATACACGGTGCTATTTGTTGTTCGTGGCTCGTCAAAAGTACCCTCCCTTAGTTTAATATGTACAAATTAAATGGGGCCACATCTATTTTTCTATCTAAAATGTAAACGTTATTCAGGTATATCTTCAATAATCATACCCTCCTCAAATAACATCACTCGATCCATGTGTTAGTATTTGAAAGAGTTTTCTTCAAGCTCCTAACAGATGAGATGTTGTACCTACCATTGACTTGAAATGATGATTATTAGTCTGAAATGGTTGAATAATTTTACACAAATTGTAAGAATATGTGCTTATAATTTGAGGGTTGCCCTTGATTTCACTGAGATCTCATCATCAAATGCTGATCAGGTGAAAATGGTATGGTACCTAACAAAAAAGAATCACGAAATTCGGTCCACAAACTTTGACTTAATCATTGTACATATATAAAGAATAGACACCGGCCAAATTAAGAACCTCCTCTAATTTGGGAAGTCGGTTAAGACTGATGTTCATAAAAACCTATTTTTTTAATACTTTGAGACAAAATTCATTAGTTTTTTAAAGTCTTACATACCTATTCATATCTTAGTATAAGGTTAAAACTATAAAATATAGTGTTAGGTTGACAGTATTTATAGGGTTTGGCATAAAACAGAACAGTCGTTTTAGCATTCTTGATTATTTTTACTGCTTCCATAAAAATTGTCACGACTCGAGACTAAAGTCAATTTGTATAAAAAACCCAGAATATTGTAATCTATTAAAAGATGTGGGCATAGTATGATCAGAATCTTGCACCACCAAGGTTTTGCGTTGATCCGAGGCATAATATTTTCAGTGATCCAACAAAACGTGGTTACAAAAATATTTCGTAAATTCAATACACTATAATAGTTATTAGGAACCACAAACATAAGTCTAAGAGACGGAACTTAGAAAATTCACTGGGTCAAAATAATATAAATATTTATATTGATGATTTTTGCTTCTAAATTAATCTTATAAGTTGTATATCTATGTATCGAGGCAGTTCTCGTTTATTTCAGCCATAGCATGTGTATAGGTCAGGTTAATAAAAAAATAATAATGTAATAAATATACGTACAGAACCCCTGGTGGTGTACTGAGGTATTCATTTCATTTGATATTTACGTGATGTTCTTTCATTAGAAGTGTTTAATTATTTTCTATTGTAACTAAATCAAAATTCCATCTCATTAAGTCTTTTTCTCAAATGTCTTCAAATCTAAATGTGGCGATGTATAATATTTATCGTCGTGTACTCGGAACTAGTTTTTAAGTAATAATTATATCGTAGTTCGTAAGCATAGAAGCAGTGCTTCATTTTATAATCTCTGTATTGATGTCACTGTTTTATTCCATTTTAGATATAAGATAACTTTTCTTAGAACGTGAATCTCTTACAAGTGCGCCTATTTATTTTTTGTACATTAGGTTTAATTATTTTTAAGTGCTTAATTAATTTCTTGAAATTAGGAAGGACTTAGGAGGACTTCTCTGTCTTCATTAGTCATCTTGACTGATGAATGGCAACAAACTGAAAGAGATGCCAACGTGTGAACGCCGTTTGAGGAGTGCGCCAAGATTCTTTGATATGGGCACGAAAACGGACAACATTCGCTTGGCCGGCCAATGTAGGGGCCAACTACCAACATAGCGCCATGTAGTTTTTCATACTTTGGCCAATTGGCTACTTGACAATTTCCGTTATACAATTTTAAACCACTTAATGTTTTTATCAGAGAAAATAATCATTTTTTATTTGTTGATTTGTAATTAGCGCTTAAACCTTCGATCACGTGACCTCTCCGAGCTATGACGTCATATTCTGGTAAACAAACAAAGCGGTTTCTCATATGGTTGAGGAGAAACAACATTTTACACAGAAATTTCATATACATAATTGTAAAAATGGCAAGCTACAAGACGTGTGCCGTGCATGAGTAGAAGGACGACAATTAAAAATCCAAAAATAATGTTTATACACGTTCCTAATGCCCTATAATCGTCGAAAGCAATAGTTGAGCACTGTAAACATAACATAAGCGATTTGAAATGTTTTAATAAAATTTAAATTAATAAGAACAAAGAAGGGGAAGTATTTGTTTATTGAAATGTGACGTCATACTATGCTCAATCATTGCCGCCACCGCTTTGCTCATTATCATCTACAGATAAAAAATCTCAGATTATTTTTCCAAAAATATATGATTTTTAAATGAAAAAAAAAAACATAATGTATACCTAAGTATCGTTTTCTTAAACGCTACCTTAAACAACATATGTTATATTTTTATTGTTACAACAGTCAAATAGCCAATCGTGCTGGTCCCGTACATTGTCCTAATATGTATAACCACCTTTAAAATTGTTTTGCAAGGTTTACTAAGTGGCTAAAAGTCATAGAAATTGTTTAATTGTTGCACGAAAGCAATAACGAAGCCAAACATTAAATGTTAAAACAGCATACCAGAATTTAAAAGATTCTGTATTTAGACTTTACTATGAAAAAATTATACTGACATCACAATTAGGTGCCAAAGAGAAAAAACCTCACACGCCATCAGACCATCCATCAAGAATTAAATGTAACATTTTGTTACAATTGCTTTATACTAATTCTACAGCGTAAACTCTATATAACGAACGACACTGAAGCGACTGTAGGTACATGTTATAGCATTAGAAAGAGTTGTTGTTAAATGGAGAGAGAAAAAAACAGAATTAGAAACAGAAAAGTTTATTTCAAGTATGTATAAATGTTATGTACAAGTACATAAAGTATTATTTGAACGACGCTTTCGCCAATTGATTTCAACGCTTTAGGGAGTGTCGCTATACGTTACATGGAGTTTACACCGTTTAACATTATGGTGCTTGCTTGGAAAAGCAAATAAGGATTTCAAAAATCTGTGGTGGTAAACAACTAAAAAAAATTATCAAATAGAGAACACAGTACTGAAATATTGATGTGATATTAGAGTACGTTCTAGAATTATTATCTTTAGTTACGCTTCCATTTTATAATAATAAAAACGTAATGTGCGTGTGCTCAATGTGTGTTTTATTTATTTCTACCCAAAACAAAAACGTGTAATTTCAACAGCCTCTTTAAAAAGTAAAACATCGTAGCTAGGTACATACATACTGAATGGTGTAAACGTGAATTATCTGGACTAGAATAAGTTCGTGAGTCGTTCTTAGCAATGGGCGTAGTTAGCTCAGGGTGGGGTAATTGAACAAAATATGTACCAGGCAAATTATGCCTCATCTTACCCTGGTTAATTTTTTGCAAAATGACTTAACACGAATAGGTACATAATATGAAAGGCAATACCAAGGCCCGATTACGATTACACTTGGGGGTTCCAATTTTCAAGTGGTCGTAAGGATAAATATTTTACGGGAGGTCACACCAGGCGGCGGCCGACTTAATGGCGACAGCGGTTGCGACAGTCGTTGAGAGAATCCGGCAGTTGGGACTCGAGGTGGCGCTCCACAAGTCCGAGGCCATGTGTTTTCATGGCCGCGGGAACGCGCCACCTCCGGGTGGGTCCCAAATAACGGCGGGAGGAGTTACCATCGGCGTCGAGACGACGATGAAGTACCTAGGACTCGTCCTCGACAGTCGGTGGAACTTCATAGAACACTTCCGACGTTTGGCTCCAAAGTTGGAGAGGACGGGGGCTGCGTTTAAACGCATCCTCCCCAACCTCGGGGGGCCAAACGCCTCCTGCCGGAGGTTATACGCCGGGGTCGTGCGGTCCATGGCCCTCTACGGCGCCCCTGTTTGGGCGCCTAACCTGTTGCGGCGTCCCGCTCGGACGCTGCTCATGGCACAGAGGGTCATGGCGATCCGAATGATCCGCGGATACCGCACGATCTCTGGGGAGTCGGCGAACCTCCTTGCCGGATTACCGCCGTGGGATCTGGAGGCGAAGGTGCTCGCGCGCGTGCACAGCATGCGCGCGGAGGCACGTCGCCGGGGCGAAACTCCGCTGCCGCGCCAGATAAGTGCGTGGCGGGATGAGCTCCGGCGCGATCTCATGGCGGAATGGCAGCAACGACTGTCGCAACCGAGGGCTGGGCTCGCTGCCATCGCAGCGGTAAGTCCCCTCTTTGAGGAGTGGCTTGAGAGACGCTACGGCGTCCTCACCTACCGCCTGACGCAGGTCCTCACCGGACATGGCAGTTTCGGGAGGTACCTGTGTCTGATGGGGCGGGAGGAAACGCCCGGGTGTCATCACTGCGAGGACCGCCCTGAGGACACGGTGGAACACACGGTGGGAGAATGCCCTTCGTGGGCTGAGCACCGCCGTGTCCTCAGGGAAGT